ATTTAGCTGTATTTTCTTCCGTTAAACATGATTTGCAATATCCATTACCACAGATCCGAGCCTGTATTCTGGTATCGAGGAATCCAAATATGGACTTTCCTTGACTTTTACAAAAAGACTATTCAAAACTTTCAAAGGGACAGAGTAAAGTTTAATGTGATGAAGGTCTAATTGTTTATTTACATAAGGTAGTAGTGAATCAAAGGAGACATCGATGTCCATGACTACGCTTACGTCTCTTTGTCCTGTTAAAAAGTCCCATCACATTCACATTGCTACACTGTGGGCTTGAAAGATTTCCAACACCATCGACATTGCCACTGCTACCATATGGAAAGGCCGTGCCTAGTTTTCTAATCCAGTATTCTTCTCGTTGTCTACGGAAAGGTGTACTCAGTGATGGGCTATTAGTATGATGGTAAATCTTTTCTGTATTTCTAACTTTCATTGATAAAATAGCATGATCTGGTAAATTAAAATGCTTGTATAGAAGCTGCTGGCCCCCGTTGTTATTCTGAAATCTATGCCCCGATATTCTTTTATTAAGTTAACCCTTGGTTTCACCAACATAAATTAGCCCACAAAGGGTACATCCTATTCTGTAGACAACATTAGAAGATTTGCAATTCAGATTTATACATTAATTAACTGTCTTGTGGAGTTGTTAAACGATCAACGTTTTAAACCAGTAGAATCACAATGTAACGATCCTATTAAGCATCTTAGGGTTGTTCTAAAGACAAGTCTAAGTACATATCGATGCTTTAGTGGTATGTGTATGTCCACTGATATCTAATTGTGACTCTGTCCCAAGTAACATTCCACTCTCGGAAGAACTACAAAATGTTTACAGTTAATCAGATAGATTTGTGAAGTTGATTCGTTACTCAAGAGCATGTTCTACGTACCAACGATTTCTAAAACAATGAAGGCTATTGACAAATAAGTTGAAGATACAAAGATATCAACATTTCGCAAAGCATATGGTTGATACAATGACATAATCTGTCATTAGGTCGAATTATTGACTGAGTCTTTCATATAAATTGTTAGGCCATTATTTTTAATCTGAATCGTCTACGGGTTTTTCCGTTTACTCGATCATCTCAAGGGGTAAAGGACAGCAGATGTGACTGGTCGATAAAAGATGATTGCTCATCCATGGCACTTGATCTCATCTCTGTTTTCAGGGGTCCGTGTTGAACCAACTCAGAATTTGTTTAAATGGACTTCACATTTCATTCTTCTTTATGCTTAACCTGGATGAAAAAATAACCGTGGGTCTTAAATTGTTACCTTTCTAAATCTTTGATGCCTAAAAGCAGTAAATGAAGTGGTTATTTCATGATTTTTTAAAGGACTACATAAGAATATTCTAAGGTTAATTTCATCGCTTAAAATCTCCATAATTGTATATATCTTCATCAATTTCGGTATTTTCTTGTGAGTATTAAACCCAAATTAACCACCCAAAGAATTCCATAACAATATAAAACAATAGGCCCATAAGCCACATTGCTCAGTTCACCTGAGCACGTTGGCTAAGAAGAAGCAGAAATCAGTTCAGTATTGAACAGGGGGGAGGGGGGCTTTAATTTACACTACCTAAGGATGATTCCATATCAATATTACTAATCATGGGTTTGCTATTTTAAAACAGAAGAATTTCAAAGATTTTCCCCCTATGTTTTCCTATGTAAAACTCTGATCTCTCTTTGTGGCCCCACCCTACCCACTCTAAAGAGGGTGTTGCAGTTCTTTTGTAATTTTCCCTAAGTTGTATAGCAGTTGAAAAGAAAAAATTTAAGTAACAGAAAACCGTCTTAAATTTTTTCAGATACAACGGTATATACAGCACAATGTAGAACTATATTTAGAAACTGCATATCGGCTTCCAATTTGCCATTAAATGAAGTGTAAATTAGTTAAATAGCAAAATTAGTCAAGTTTTCTGTTTTTTCAAATAGGGAATCCCCATATTTCTGAAAAATTGTCTCCTTGAAACAGAATGAATTTGATATAATCATAAAGAGAGAGGATTTTTCTTCAAAGCTGCCATTTTCGATTTTTGTTTCAAAAGAGGCATATTTTTGAAAATCACAAAAATCGAATAAAAATTATTATCCATCCGAAATGCAAAATGTGCACATAAAATAGCACATGATGCTTCAGTGTCGGAGCTGGTCTAGTGGTAAAGTGTGTGGACTCTGTGCAAAGATTCTTTTACCAGAGAATGGGGGTTCGAATCTTGGAATGGCTGGTACATATATATATATATATATATATATATATATATATATATATACACATATTTTTTCTTTTATAATGGAAGTACAATGTAACATCTCTCTTGAGAGAGAAAGAGAGAGGGAGAGAATGTCAGAAAGTTAATGGATAATATTTTAAATGCATGCAGAATTAAATTGCTTTCCTTGATATTGTGATCTAAAACTAATAAGACATACATTTAATGTTATTATTTAGTGGCGATGTCTTAAAAAATAAAGTAATATCATTTTAAATAATTTAATTTTTTCATACGCATTTCTTTTCATTATTGTTCTGTTAAATAGTGGCTCAGCTTTGACTTGAAGCAACAAAATTGAAATGACTCAATGGGATTTCTTGGATATTGCATCAACAGCGTGATTATTGGACACATTTATATATATTGAAAAATATTAACGCACGCTGTCTACAGCATATCTTTCAAAATGATGTGCGAGGTGCACTTGCCATTGATTGTGCTTTTTATCGTTCTAACTTTTCTCTTGCAATATGGCGACAGTGACCATAGATGTGAAAAAAAAAGTTTAATTACAGGTCGCCAGTCTATGTTAGCAAAAAAACTACTCATGAAATAAACGTAAAATGTGAAATGTTTTGTTATAACATTATAAACATGGCACTGAAGGAGTTGCCTATCCCGTTAGTATATAGGTCCCTGGCTGGACATACCCGCCGTATAAATAAAGTCATCAGCATTACATGTATCTATATGTAGAGATAACTCTTCATGCGTCGTGTCCTTCTCGATTTAGGAAATAATCGCGAGTTTCTGCAACACCCTCTTTGAACAAATTTGGATCTCCTACCTGAGGATGCTTCTATATTAATATGACTAATCATGCCTTTGTTGTTCTTGAGCAGAAGATTTTTTCAAGATGATTCTTATATAATCTTATGCAAAACTTTGACCCTCTGTTGTGCCCCCAACCCCTGGGGGTCATAATCTGAACAAACTTGATTCTACAATACCTAAGGTTGCTTCTGTATAAATATGACTAATAATGACTTGGTTGTTCTTGAGAACAAGATTTTAAAGATATTTCCTATGTAACGTGTATGATCAGGTTCTTACAATGGATATATAGGTTTTCCTTTTACTCTGTCTGAGTTAATGATTGGAATGATTATTAAGACATCTCTGTCTGAGCTAGGGTATATCACACAGTACTGAAATTTTCTCTTATCTAGAGATGGGGACTGGGTAAGGTACTACTCGTACCATGTTTCTCCCCTAAGTTGACATTGATAGATAAGAACCGGGTGTCTCAATCTTCTTCAGATTTACTACACCCAGAACTTAACATCAATTCCTTAGGATACTTGCCACTGGTGTTTATAACTTTTATTTTGCTCATACCATTAAGGTTTTCCATCCTATATAAGACCAAATTCTCTATCCTTAAATGTCCATCAAGTACACAATACTCTGATATTAATTTAAAGCATTTTACAGTAGAAAAGGATTTACCAAGAGAAAGTTTAAAAAAAAATGTAAGTAACTAAGTAGTGGTCTACTGTTTTGGCCCCGCCCTACCCCAGGGGTCATGATTTGTACAAACTTGAATCTAAACTACCTGAGGATAATTCCATATTAATACGACTAATAATGGCTAAGCTGTTCTTGAGAAGAAGATTTTTTAAGATATTTCCTATATATTCCTATGGTAAATTTTGACCCCCTGTTGTGGTCCTGCCCTACCCCCAGGGGCCATGATTTAATGGAACAAACTTGAATCTACACTACCTGAAGATACTTCTCTCATAATATGACTAATCATGGCTTTTTCTGTTCTCAAGAAGATTTTTAAAGACATTTCCTAAATATTCCTATATAAAACTTCGACCCCTCTTGTGGTCCCGTCCTAACCCCAGGGTTTATAATATGAACAAACTTGAATCTAGAGTATGTAATGAAGCTTTCACATAAGTTTCATCTTTTCTTGTCCAGTGCTTCTTGAGAAGATTTTTAAAAGATGCCACCAAATTTTCATGAATTTTTGATTAATTATCTCCCCTTATCTCCACTTCCTGTGAATAAACATAAACCCTCTTTACCCAAGGATGTTTTGTGGCAAGTTTAATTGAAATTGGCCCAGGGTTCTAGAGAAAAAGTCGAGAATGTGAAAAGTTTACATACTACAGACGAACATTGGACACTCTTTGATCAGAAAAGCTCACTTGAGCCTTCGGCTTAGGTTAGCTAATAAAACTGGTGACTTAAAAAAGACCCCTATTTATTTTAGATCAAAAGGTTAAAGGTGAAGGACAGAAATTCATACAATGCAAAAAAAAAATGGTTTCCAGGTGATAACTTTAGTTTTCCTTGAGCTTTTTCTATGAAATTTTATATCATAAATCCTAATGACTTAAAGAAAACCCCTTTTGATTTTCTAAGTCAAAAGGTCAAGGTCAAAAATTCACATCTTGCATATAAAGGTTTCCTGGTAACTCTAGGTCTCTGAGGTATTATATCTTTAGTAAATATGACATAAGAGAGACTGTTTTCTTATCTGTTTTCATTCTCAGTTATTGAACTTGTGGCCTGACAATTACCCTTCAAAGAAACCTTAAAAATTATACTCTTTACCTTTGTGGGTGTAACACTATTGAGCTGAATTAAAATAGAGACTATGAAATTACTGATTTACAATATAGTTCTTTAATTATCCTCTCTCTCTCTCTCTCTCTCTCTCAAAAACAAAGATAACTGGTTATAAGTAAATATTTATTTCCTTGTGAAACAAACAGACAGGAAATGAAATGCCTGCAAAGGATAAAGTACATGTATTGATAAAGTTACTACTGATTATGAAAACTTTTTCTACAATTTTTTTTGAGAATTCAAGTCAAGGCTTTTGAGATTTTGGATGTTTTTTTCTCCCTTCTGACACAACCTTTGTGTTTCAATGGTATACATAATGTTGAATGAGAATATAGACTCTGCATTTATCAGAGCTATAATGTGACATACAGTGCAGATTCTAAAATCAATTATATTTGACAAATAATTTAATGTTATAACCAATGGTAAACTGTTGTAAACAGGCAATTATGGTAATTAGACAAGTATGCTTATAATTTATATCAAAACCTCACATATGTCAACATATTGCACAATAAAAGATGTATAAATGCAATTTCAATACAACATAGACCTCAATTCATTGTGCAGTATAATGAGCTGAGTGCAATTTGTTAAGAGATCTATCTATATGCTGTGATCAAATTGATACAAAATAATAAGATTTCCGGCTTGATGATATGCAACAATAATAACGAATCCTTCATAAGTTCAATTGATAATTAAATAAATAAAACAATATGTACAAAATATTTGTTCAAACACACAATACAAAACATGTATGAAAAAAGGTAATGTCTTCAAAATAATAAAGCCCTCTAGTTAAAAGCAGATTCTTAGTTGCTAGAATGAATATTCTTCAACATATAGACATTGCAAAATAAGTACATTGTATATAATTTTGATTGTCTACAATTTAAGCTAAAGTATTGATATGCACTAAAATACCAAACCTGAAGATCTACATGCATTAGTATTGCATTTAAAAATTTCATTTCAAAAAATCAAAATTTCTTTATTAAACATCATACTTTACCTATAAATATTCACTGTGTATATATTCCGTAAATATTATAGATTGTGGTGACAATTATTAAATTCACTAGATGGTCATTCAAATTTTGACCAGTGACATGTTTTTTTTTTCAAGTTTAATTTGAATAAAATTATCTTATTTGCGAATCAATTGTTATCAAGCATTATTATTATGCATGTGAGAGCATTGCTGCTTCTTACCTATGCCAATAAATCATGTGTCACAAAAAAAAACAATATATCAGAAAAATAGTTTCAAAAAGTGAACAACCATCAAAAAAGCACAATCAATTTAAAAATATAAAGAAAAAACATATCATATGCCCTAGCAAAAGGAGTTGTGGAAACACCTTAATTTAAAAAAAAAAAGTGAATACCTGATTCATTAACCATTTTCAATCATATTTAAAAATTAATTTTAGCCATTGTTAAATATTTTGAAGTCATTTTTAATCTATTGATGCTTTCACTTAATGTTCACTCAGACCTTTGTGAATTCATGCATAACAGGCTTTGATTTTTTGATGAAGGAATGTGTGATCTTTTGGCTACTCTGTCTGCTGGATTTCATTAAAATGAGAATATAAATAAACTCTGCCATACACAATAATGTAGAGAAATAGCAGTGATGCTCTCACTGTATCACTGGGTTCACAAAAGTTTTGTAATCTTTCACAATCATGGCACACTGTCTTGCTTCCATTTTTTTTCAGTTTGTTTTTCACAACATTTTGCGTCTGAGTTAAATGCAAAAATAGGAAAGACACTTTCTAAAGTCACAAAATCTCATACTGCAGGGGTTTTCATGTGTCACTTTCACAATAAAATGCAGTTGCTTTCTTTATTTCACTGAGAAGTTAAATTTTCCATGCATTAGAGGTCCTTTTGAGTGATATATGTCAGTCAGTTCTCATGCTATACAGAACTGACTTGATGGCCACCATTCACCAGAGTTGATTCCTCACTGTTTCCCCCAGTCACTGTTTCCTGCAACCAAAGTTTAAAATAATATCTTTTAACTGTGACAATTTACATTCTTGAATTACACACATATATACTGTAAATCACTCTCTGTTCACAACAACTTTACCTTTTCTTAATTATGCAAGACTGCTACCTAATGAAAATTTCATTCTTATATTCATGTTCATAATCATTATATTCATTTCATGCTTATATTTGTATTATTAAAGTTAATTAATATACAGCAAAATTTGTGAAAATTTTATTTTGCTCATGAAAATCAGATAACTTACTTGTCAAAATAAGGTGTCACAAAAATTTAATGATCTATAGTTAATTCACATGACCACTGCATCTCAGATGCATTCAATGAGAGTGTCTAAGGCGGCAGCAAATTTGGATCAAACCATCTGGTTATAACCTTACATACTAAGCAGGTAAATAATAATGATTTTACTTGCCTTTGTAGCATACCTGATCATGTAAAGGCTGTTTCTCCTTCTCCTCTCTCTTCTCCATTTCCTTCCTCCTGAGGTATCTATAATTAAAATTTATATAAATGTTAATTATCTTGTTCAATGTTCATGACTTCTTTCATTGAGTTTTGTTCTAAATAAAACTGACTGTGAAATAATCATGAAAAGTTGTGTTTTTCTATTCTTTTATGAAGTCACAATCAAAAGCTATCACTCTCGCTAATGGTCGTTTAACTCCTAAAACATCAGTACATTAGCCAATCAAAATGCAAATTATAAAACAGTTGCATTTGAATTTCATTTCATTTCCCTGAATTCTATGTAAAACTGTCACTCATGACTATATTTTTCTGTATAAATAATAAAGCACCTTATTTAAACTTTGATTCAGTTCTTGTCGCAAAAGCTCATTGTAAGAATTTAATGTGATGTAAGCCATGTACATTTTATTACACATGTAATAAAATATCCTACCTCTTGGTAGCAACATTTGTTTCTAAGACTAAAAAAAGTCTCTGATATATATATATATATATAAACAGATTTGTTTCGTAGATACAAGATAAAGTGGTTAAAGCAGACTTAATTGAGATAATCTCTCATAATTACATGAAAGTACAGTTCTTGCAAATAAAAAGTGCTTATTACAATTACACTACTGTATATTTTCAATTTCAAGACTGTGTATTCTTCAATTTATTTTATAAAAATCAGAGACTTTCAAAGCTGTGCAGTACTCTGTAAGCACAAATTTCGCCTGGAAGCTAGTGAACAATTTTATAGTAAAATACTGAAAAAAAAAACATACGAGACCTACCTTTTACGTAGAACTAAGACACACACAATGGCAGTAACAAAGAGAACAATGCCCACAACACTGGCTGCTATGGCTGCTGCCTTAACTCTGTCATCTCTCTCCCCTGTAAAGTAAGAACACTGAGTGAGTGAACTAAAACACCAGTAACTCAAACATGTCAAAATATCCATTAAGTATGCAAACAAGGCAGCACTTTTAATGAGTACAAAGTGCTTTGTAAAAGATGAATAAGTAGAAAAGCTAGGCTAGTATAACTGGTGTGATATATTTTCACAACTCAGTATCTAAGAAAGTTTAGTATTCATATGACAAAACTATGTTTTGAATGGAAATTTTGAATTCATGACTTGGACACAGACAATGTATATGGTAAGACTATCGAGCAAGACAGGAGAAGTGTAACAACAGTGCCTTGTGAATTAAACAGGTTATGATAAATTACATTCAGTGTTTAAACATATTTTACCCAGATAAATTACAATTTGCATTTAAAAAAAAAATGCCTTTTAATTTGCAAATTTTCTAAATACTGTAGGGAAATTTTTGTCCCTATCAGCTAAGTGCATTGGCAAATTCAAAAAAGAATTATCTCTCTTTTAACACAGTTTTAACTGTGTCTGCATGGGTGAATTTAAAGTTTGCAAATGTGAAAGGGCAAAAATAGAATGATCATGACAAAAACAACGCTGTATACAGTAAATTTAAGATATATTAGCTAACTTTGCATTCCAAGCTTGCATTTGTATATGTCACAATGAAACTTAATGTCCCCAAATTCCAGTGGTTGTGTTTAGTACACCAATCACCATAACACATAATAGTTAAATTCAAGAGTAACCCAGTTGATGTGTTAATAAACTCAATAATTGCCCTCTGGACTGGGATCATAGGCCAAAGGTGAGAGTTTGTCCTGATAGTCCAAAAAATAAAGATATTTCTCCATTTAACCTACATATTATACATAATTGTAACAAAATAAATGAATTACAATATCATTTTCATCAATTTCTTGATTTAATTCAGATTTAAAAAAATGTAAGAAAGTATTAACAATTATTTCTTTAAATCTCAGCTTTATAAAATATTTAAAGTCAGTTTTTGGCTCAAGTTAACATGTACATAGCACACTAATCAATACAATTCATGCATAGAGAAACATGTATAAATGACTATTAATTGATTTAAAAGTGAAACTTTTAGATACATGTATACCTATATGAAAGAAATATTATGCATTTAGAAAAATATTCAATGATGCTAGATGACATCTTCTAGGTATATTAGAAAGACAATTTGTTGTAATAATGCACGCATAGATGCATGGTGAACAGGAGTTTTTTGTGACAAAATCTGAATATTTTGCAGCTTCATAATAATTAAGTGTACAATAAAACTTGTCTAAAGTGATTGATCTCATAAACATTTGGTGATTAATTTTTTTTCTTAGTTTTACACAGAACTTTTAACATTTATATAATTTAATTCTGGTTGTAACAAGCTATTTGATTGGTAAAAAAAATAGTTTTTATAATCATATAACCTGAATAGCTATGTTGCTTATGTCACAATTTGACTTGTGTTAAAAACGTATCAATCCAAATGACATTATATTTAAATTTTGTACAATGTAATGTAATTTTTGAGGATAGATCTTTTTATTTTCTTCACTTAATGGAAGAAAATGATATTATAAGATATGAATTTCAAAGTTACCCAATTATTCTCATATAGCCTGGATTGGAATAGTTTATGCTTTTTAAACAAACCACTTCATGGTTTATAAATCATAAACTGCCTACCCTGGAGATGATACTCATATAACTTTGGTAACAGAATTTTTATCTTTAAATATTAACCTAGAATATACAATATTTTATTTAATCAGGCAAGTTAAAGTGTGTTAATCAACAATATTATAATAGTTAATGAGTAAAGCAATTACATATTTCATGTACAATTTTCACTTCTCATGCTTACTCTCTCTTTTATATTTTCTTAAGGGAGAAAATAATAGACAGTAAAAATTATTAACTACTACACTGTAGTATGCATGAAAAGTGATTTTTTTTTTTTAGTTAAAGCATCAGATAAATAAGATTGAGAAGAATTAAAGGCATGTATTTGTGAACTTACACAGTGAGCCTAGAATTCAATAAATTACAAAAATGTAAGATCATTTGAAGTAATTGAATTGTTTCAAGAAAATTACTGATTCATTCATCTTTTACATTGCAAAAGTTCTTTACATAATTAACAATGTAACTTTTATAAATAAAATGGTCCTTTATACCTAATTTATATACATCTGATAAAAAATATTTATTTACTTGCAGAATATTGTTTAATATTATAGATTAAGAAGAAAATATGTTTAACTCTTTTTAATTTGCAGTGCCAATTTTTTTCTGTCTCTTAATTTCATATTTTAAAGTGCAATAAATATTTTATGAAAAGGCATACATGCAAAACATTTATTATCAATTTTATCAAAGATTTCCCAAAAAAACTAGCCATGCAGTCATCTGTGTGACTAGATTGATTGAGTGCTCAAGGCACCTGGAAATATGTTGATCACATCAAGAAACTATCTTCTAATTTTCATTTCAAAACTTAGAAACATCTAGACTCTCATAGGCTATTGTGACTTTCTAAACTTCTTGTCAAAGGATTTCAAATACGGTACAAATATCCATCCTAATAAGCAGCAAATACATGTAGAAATCGGAAGAGACCCCTTATTACATCTACAATACCTTTAAGTAACTTTGATGCATCTAAATGGTTGGTTTACATTCCAATATAGCTTTATAATCAGAAAGTGTATTAAATTTCTTAGTTATATGCATATAATTTACCTAGCTGCAAGCTTATAAATTTGAAAGTCACTTTGTTCTGATTTTTTTCAATCTTAGAAGAGGGTGCCTTTTCTTTTTTCTTTTGTATGCATATTTTTCAGCTTTTTCAATTTCACTGTGTGTGTGTGTGTTGGGGGGGGGGGGGGGGATACAGAGGCATGGCATCTTAATGGAGCAATGAAGATATAATGTATTGTTTACACAGTATAATTTAAACAGAGAAAAAAATAAAATAATGAGTCTAGAGTCACTTGAGATTTATAAATTATTGAAACCCTAATCTATAGGCTGTCAAAGCAGTGACCAACAATACTGCAGTGCAGACTACAAAATAATTTTCTTTCAAAATGCACCTGGTGTTAGTGTTGAAAATGAAAATTTAAAAGGCCATTTACAACAGATGACAGTGGCAAACAGATTAAATTCCCCTATCCTATAAATAATTAACAGAAAAATCTTAGGCAAAGTTTTTCATGTGGTTGAATTGAATAAAAGTTCTATCAAAGCTAGTGTTACAGTGTTGATGGCTACTGAACATTTCTAGGACAAAAATACATCTTTTGTTAATTGAGTCAATGCTATGTTGAATAATGCATAATGGGATATGCAATAAGTCATTTTACGTATGACAAAATGTCCCAGAGTAAAAGTTATTTAAATTTCTAGGTTGATATCAACACAAAGGAATTCTATATTAAGCAGCAAATTATTATGCACGTAGTAGAAGAGTAAACTTTGTATTGTGTAAGTTAATTAAGCAACATTAATATTTCTATAAATATTTCAAATTCAATTTGCAAAAAATTGGACTTACGTTGAAATATCAATGTTGGATCAATGTAGAAACAGGTTTTTCCAATATAATTTTCTTGGCATCTACAAAAGAGTTTTTATCTTGATTAAAAGTCAAGTTGTCAACCAAGGAGAGTTTTTAATCTGATTATCATTATTTATAAATTTATACTGATCTATACCAATACATCCAACATTCAAACACAAGTCTGATAATATCGCTAATAGGTTTGTTACAGACTGCATGTTTATAAAAAATATATCAGGTTGAATAATCTCATAGATGACTAGTAGAAGCCAGGCCATCTTTGAGACAAGATTAACCAGATATATTTTCATAGATGGTCAGTAAAAAACCTAACAAGTGGTTTATTTCCTTGAGGACTCTATAGTGTGAGAGACATTTACACTGGAGCATTAAGCATTGGAGTTATTCTGCTTCACTATTGAAACATAGTAGTTCTCCCTATCACAATATTTACTGACAATGGGTAGTTCTCCCTACCACAACATTTACTGACAATGGGTAGTTCTCCCTACCACAATATTTACTGATAATGGGTAGTTCTCCCTACCACAACATTTACTGACAATGTGCAGTTCTCCCTACCACAACATTTACTGACAATGGGTAGTTCTCCCTACCACAATATTTACTGATAATGGGTAGTTCTCCCTACCACAACATTTACTGACAATGTGCAGTTCTCCCTACCACAATATTTACTGATAATGGGTAGTTCTCCCTACCACAATATTTACTGATAATGGGTAGTTCTCCCTACCACAACATTTACTGACAATGGGTAGTTCTCCCAACCACAATATGTACTGACAATAGTTAGTTCTTCCTACCACAATATTTACTGACAATAGTTAGTTCTCCCTACCACAATATTTACTGACAGAGGATAGTTCTCCCTACCACAATATTTACTGATAATGGGTAGTTCTCCCTACCACAATATTTACTGACAATGGATAGTTCTCCCTACCACAATATTTAAGGACAATGGTTAGTTCTCCCTACCACAATACTTAAGGACAATGGTTAGTTCTCCCTACCACAATACTTAAGGACAATGGTAAGTTCTCCCTACCACAACATTTACTGACAATGGGTAGTTCTCCCTACTACAACATTTACTAACAATGGGTAGTTCTCCCTACCACAACATTTACTGGCAATGTGCAGTTCTCCCTACCACAATATTTACTGACAATGGTTAGTTCTCCCTACCACAATATTTACTGACAATGGTTAGTTCTCCCTACCACAACACTTACTGTCAATGTGCAGTTCTCCCTACCACAATATTTACTGACAATGGGTAGTTCTCCCTACCACAATTTTTACTGACAATGGGTAATTCTTCCTACCACAACACTTACTGTCAATGTGCAGTTCTCACTATCACAATATTAACTGACAATGGTTAGTTCTCCCAACCACAACATTTACTGACAATAGTTAGTTCTCCCTACCACAATATTTAAGGACAATGGTTAGTTCTCCCTACCACAATATTTACTGACAATGGGAAGTTCTCCCTACCACAACATTTACTGACAATGGTTAGTTCTCACTATTACAATATTTATTGACAATGGGTAATTCTTCCTACCACAACACTTACTGTCAATGTACAGTTCTCACTATCACAATATTTACTGACAATGGGTAGTTCTCCCTACCACAATATTTATTGATAATGTGCAGTTCTCCCTACCACAATATTTACTGATAATGGGTAGTTCTCCCTACCACAACATTTACTGACAATGTGCAGTTCTCCCTACCACAATATTTACTGACAATGGGTAGTTCTCCCTACCACAACATTTACTGACAATGTGCAGTTCTCCCTACCACAACACTTACTGTCAATGTGCAGTTCTCCCTACCACAACATTTACTGACAATGGGTAGTTCTCCCTACCACAACACTTACTGTCAATGTACAGTTCTCACTATCACAATATTTATTGACAATGTGCAGTTCTCCCTACCACAATATTTACTGACAATGGGTAGTTCTCCCTACCACAACATTTACTGACAATGTGCAGTTCTCCCTACCACAATATTTACTGACAATAGTTAGTTCTCCCTACCACAATATTTAAGGACAATGGTTAGTTCTTCCTACCACAATACTTAAGGACAATGGTTCTCCCTACCACAACATTTACTGACAATGGGAAGTTCCCCTTACCACAATATTTACTGAAAATGGGTAGTTCTCCCTACCACAATATTTACTAACAATGCGCATTTCTCACTATCACAATATTTACTAATAATGGGTAGTTCTTCCTACTGCAGTATTTACTGACAATGGGTATTTCTTCCTACCACAACACTTACTGACAGGAAGATTGATTGGTTGATATTGTTTAATGCCGAGTCAGCAATATTTCAGCCATATTTCATCAGTGAAAAGTTTTGTTCAGATTTAAAAGATATTTTGGGTTTCTCTGGCAGCCCCCAGTGAGGCTACTCTTTTTCAAAAACCAGAAAAATGATCTTTTACATGCCGAGGGGGTCTGACAGGTAGAAGTTCCCCTTACCACAATATTTACTGACAATGGGTAGTTCTCCCTACCACAATATTTACTGACAATGGATAGTTCTCCCTACCACAATATTTACTGACATGTAGTAGTTCCCCTTACTACAATATTTACTGACAATGGATAGTTCTCCCTACCACAATATTTACTGACAATGGGTAGTTCTCCCCTATCACAATATTTACTGACAATGGGTACTTCTCCCCTATCACAATATTTACTGACAATGGGTAGTTCTCCCTTCTCCCTACCACCACATTTACTGACACAAAGTAGTTCTCCCTACTACAACATTTATTGACAATGGATAGTTCTCCCTACCACAACATTTACTGACAATCGGTAGTTCTCCAAACCACAACACTTACCGATAGTTGGTAGTTCTCCCAACAACAACACTTACTGACAATGGGTAACACTTACTGGCAATGGATTATTATCTCACACTACACTTACTGACAATGTGTAGTTCTCTCTTCCCCTTCTTCAATCTCCAACACAAAGCAGGTCCCTCCATTCAGACAACCCTGTGCCTGTGTTTCATTAGCTGTGCATGGTTTGCGGTGACTTACAAATGTTGTGGTTACTGTCACTGGTGCCACAGTGGTGGGACGGGGGGTAGCTGGTGTTCTTCCACAACCATCTACAACAGGCCAATCAAATAAAAAATTGTTTGTTAAGTTAAGAATATCTATTTCAATAAATTTGTGAAAGCTTTAAACTTTTCCATGTCATATCAATTTTTATTTTGTTCTAGAGCACAATAGAATTCCAGAAAAAAGAGTAATGGGGATATTGTAGGCAATCTCCTGATTCCACCCTCTTCCACAAAGTTTTCTTAAAAAAAAACCCTTTTTATTACCAAAATATCTCTAATTGCAAATTAACATATAAAACTTCTAACTAGCACAGTACCTTGATTATTACATAGTTCCTCTAAACCTACTGATGATGAACATAGTAAAATAACAAGTAACAGCAAATATTCAAAGCACATGTTGGACATACTAAGAAAAGATGATGTAGTCAATTTGCAATGGATTTCTTTACACCTACTCAATGGAAAACTAGAACATTTTATTTTTTTCTAATTGCAATAAGTTAACTCTGTTGCCTTTGATCTGTGATCCAGGTGATTGACTGCGTAGGTATCTGTTTGTTAATAAATTTATAAGGTATGCAAACAGGTTAAAGAATTTTAATCCCCACTTTGAATGAATGGTTGCATACTTATTGCACACTTAAAATATACTTTCTGTTTATATATTGGGACAAAATTGGATATATACTTAGCAGTCAGGAAGTATTTTTGAAACATGCTTTTAATTCCTTGAATGGAATTTGTAGTGAAATATTACACAATTATGACTCTGTATATTCAAAAGGGATATCACTGAATTACACTATTTAGTTTTTCTACTTGTAAGTATGATTTAGTTTAAACCATTACTGCAAACAGGTCCATTTTATTACTTAAGTCATGCACAAATAAGAGCACTTCTATTTTTATCCTTTTTTTTATTTGCCCTTTAAAAGATCTTTTGATAAATAATGTTGTAGAGGTGCTGGCTTTTCTTGTTAATACATGTACTTACGTGTAGTGGTTAAGAGTGAGGATAATAGAACCAGTATCAGGTGTAACAACTGATGCATTTCTTTACCTCTCTCTGTTCAGATGTACAGTCATCTGGAAATGCTGGGCTCTGAAAGACAAAAGATGATATATTATAACATATATTCACCTTCATACATGTTTAAAGAATACCTGCACTACATGTTTAAAGAATACCTGCACTGGTGCACAAACAAATAAGTAAAGCATGGAGAGAGAATTTCTTTCTTACAACTTTTTCATGTCTGAGTCATATTTAACGATTTACCATTCTCTCTGCAAACATTCAAATATTGAAAATGCCAAACTGTAAGGGTTCCAAATGGCTGACTGGTGTATGAGACGAAATGCATGTTATATACATGCAGTATTCATATTCAAAAGAATTCAAAGGGAATATCCACACAGTTTTTTGTTGAACATATGACACAAGACATGCACACTTGACCTCGCATTAATTCTTCAGTTTAGCAAAATCGAACATCAATATTTCACAGAAATAAAATATTATGCTGTTTACCGTTTGAATTATTGATAATATTTAATAATTCAAAGGTAAACAGCATGATTGAATACTTCAGGTGTGATATTTAACCTTTCATTTAGCCAATATACCATATGGTAAATGATCAAAATTTCTTGAACAAAAGTTTTACCAAAATATATACACGTTATATCCCCTATTCGGTAAATACCTGGTAATTATAATGAGCCAGTGCAGAAGCACTTTAAGTTCATCTTTATCAGAAGTATAGATTCCTATATTGATGATTGTTAAGTATTTAGACCTTAGGTTTTAAGTCAATACAATCAGTGAATGACTATAACAAGTGCTGTACTTATCAAAGATTTGGTCAGGATAATGCTATTATTGACATCAATTGTTGCCAATTAAGTGTCTACTGATTTTTTTCTGTTTAATTTTAGCTTCTACACTTTCCAAGAATGACAAGTTCATTTTTAAGTTACACAGTCTCATTTATTTTAAATACTAGTGAGAGTGGTATATCCATTTGGATACAATATTTTGCAAAAAATTAATATACAAAATAATTTTGATATCAAACTGCAATTCATGTATTTTTTCAGAATCAATATAAATCAGACTTATAGTATTGCAAATATTACACTTTTTTTCTTGAGTTAATAAATTGCATTTGTACATGTAACAAAAACAGTAAGATCAAGGTGTTCGTGTTACAATCAGCAAATGGTTAGTTTTTCTCCTCCCTGCCCCTGGGACTACTATGGCTGAATCACACATAGAATTATCACCTAACACACTCCATAATATAAATTATTCTGCCTACACAAAATCATTCTTTATGATTCACAAGCTAAAGAGGAATCCTGATTTAGAGTTGAAAGGCACATAACTTGAATTCTATCAGATTTCAATTCAATTACACAAATATCTTTAAATTCCCAATGACTGATCCACTTGAATTCCCAGCATACATGTCTACCTACTAAAATCTCAGATTTGCTTATTCATATTTTTTGTTTACACTGAGTTGCAAAGAATCCAGAAATTTTATAGATCCAATGAAAAATCCACAGCTCACAAGTGCCAAAAATAGGCACAGTTTACCTTATATATCTCAAACAAGTAAATGTTAGGCCATAGCAAAATAACTTGATGGGCTTGATCTTAACATTATAATTTTGCATTTGAATCTCAAACAATATATGACTACTTTTTTTGTGTTGGACTGTACAACCAAAGTAATTAATATTCCAACATTTTAAAATATCAATATATAATGGTGGTGTTTTCATATGAGTGAAAAATTCTCGAGAGGGACGTTAAACAACATACAAACAAACAAATCAATATATAATACACTGAGTAAATATTCAGTGTTAAATCCAAATAAGCACCTATTTAAATTACAGTCAAACCTCATTATCCCGAACTCGATGGGACTGAGAAAAAAATTCGAGATATCCGAGGATTTGAGATATAGAATGTAAAATACTTAAAAAATAAATGGTTGGGACTTCCAAATCACTTTGACATATTCATGGTATTTGAGATATCAGTGTTTGAGATGCCAAAGTTCAACTGTATATCAAATGTAAGCTAATTCAAAGTACCGGTATACTCTATAAAAAATTATATCAGGAAAAAACTTCTGTGAGTGTCAACAATTTAATTCTATCAAATAAAACCAGCATCTGCAGAGCTAATGTATCAATATTCATGAAGTACCAATTAAAGGAAGATTGCTTCAGAATTATGGCAAGTCCTAACAAGTGAACAATAGTCCTCAACATCCTACGCCCTCTGCATTGTCTGGACCTTTGATTCTAAACTCACTACAAACGGAGTAGGAACCGAGAAATAGAGAAATTGATTTGATCCATCAATACTTAATGAACTAAGGGTAACAGAACAAAACTTCCTTATTCGAGAAATATGAAGAAAAAAACAGTATAACCTTAAAAGAGAGAAAAGGAAACAGAATTCCATCCTAAAGATTTGATATGCAAATTAAAAAGTTATTGTCTGAATCTAATTACTAAATAAATTTTCCTTATTCTCTGGTTTTCCATTCAAATGCAAGTGTTTAAACTGATCAACTGCAAGAAATTATATACTTGCATAAACTTTATCCACCATTGCTTAAGCCTTTACAGTTTGAATCATTCTATAATTTCTACACACTCCATATAAAATAGCATAAAGCAACCTGATAGTTTTTAGTATCTTTTGGAACAAATATATCTAATCCATGCTAAAACAATTTGATATACATGTACTTTTACTGGCAATCTGATTCAAATTATGATCAACTTGAGGATAACATAATAAATTAAGTTTACTGCACAAAGTAAGGCTCTCTAAGTCTCCGTAAAGTCTATCTTACCTGAGGCTAATCCATCCGCGACTTTTCTACTGTACTAATGTACTATGGGTTTACGATCACCCTGCCTTTCTGATTCACAATGACCCAATCAATATATGGATGATATGATCTACTATAGACTCCCTGTCAGCAGAATTCACACAAATCCATAGTTACTCAACTATTTCCTATCCATTGCCAACTAATAAATATTTTGCTTTCTGTCTAAATAGTGCTCTAATTAACAAAAGGTTGCTTACTGTTTCACAAAGGCTCTGCTTGTATCAATTAGTATGCTATGTATGTCCGACATGATAAAGATGCACCTTAATTCTTCTTCAAATAACATTTACAGGTGCCAGTGAGTATATAGGAAATGTTTCTGTATTGCTTGATCATAATCAAAGCTGTTAACTTTCCATTTACACTAGCTTGCAGTTATTGGTAAATGGTATAAAAGAAAAGTACCATATCAGAATATTTCTTTTGTTCTTCTCTATTTAATAATTCTAACAATTGTGTTTGTCTGCTATACAAGAATAAAATGTGTTGCCATGAAAATTGTGACCACTTATCACATATATACTTATATGTATATTTGTATTTTAAAATATACATGAATCAAATGAAATTCTAAATTCTTGTTGCAATAACTTGTAGTATAGAAGGGGGGAAGTAAAAAAAATCTTGCTGTTAAAATTTGTAAGGTGTAGCTTAAATTAATTAAACTGACAACTCAAGTGCACTAACTTTCAGTTACGGTATATGGCATAAATGCACACTAGTGCTAAAATAAGCCAGTAATTTTACCCATACAGACAATTAATTCATGACCTCACTCTCTCTGAAATAATTAAGTTCTATGAAAGTTTGTTTTATGTGAAACATGTACTTTTATACTGTGCCACAATTGGTGGTCTAGCCCTCATATATGTTTCATGTGGATTATTCATGTAGACTATAAGTTCAAATCACTATCTTCAATAACTCATATATTGTAAAAAAAAAAAAATAAATAAATAAAAATAAAAAAATTTAAAAAAAATTCCAATCACATGCTTAGGGGGTAGGATCTAAAATTTCTAATGCACATTCTTCAAATTCACCAAAAATTAACTATATGAGTGAATGATGAATCTCCATCAAACAAAGTATTGTAAATCAGAATAACTTAGATCTGATGATGAGATTATGCATGGAAATTAATGGCTGAGTGACATAATGTCATAGAACTTGAAATAAATCTAAATAAAATTCATTGATACATTAAGACTGAACACACATTGTTGACATATATTTTATAAGATTAAATAAATCAACAACTAACTGATCCCCAAGATTTATCATAAAAATAGATCTTTAGTTTCATGACAATTACAAATGCTCCACTGAATTGTTGAAATTTTGTTTGAATAGAATAGACGGTCATTATAGCTTAAGGTTAAAAAGAAATCACGCAATTAGAGAAATTTATGGACATTTTCTTATAGACATGAGATCAACCCATGATCTTTAAGATTCTAAGTTGATATTCTGCATGATTGAACCTTGTATGTTTAAAATTTTCTTGTATAGTTTAGTTTTTTGCACTGTGTAGTTAAATTTCATGTAATACATGTATTTGATGCAAAAAATAAAATCTATTCCTTTAATCTGGATGAAGGTTATCACACAAATTTTTGATACTTTATTGATTTCTGTTATTTCTGTTCATTTACTTGTATACATATAATCATTTTAGAACTTCTTTGGGTTTTTTTTTTAGAACTTCTCTTTCTCTCTCTCTCTCTCTCTGTGCTTTTATGCCTGTTGGTCTCAAAATTGGAATAAAACTTATTTATAACTCAGACATTGTCTTTGAGCTTATAAATCCTAAATCTTACCTTGAACTATTTGCAAAAAATCCTGGAATTCTGCTATTGTTTGCCAGAAAAAAAATCAATATACATCAAAGGAATTCTTCAACTACTCCAATTAGTCAATGTCAGCAAATCCTAAAAAAATAAAACAGTATAACATGTAACACAGTAGAAACTCCAGCTACTAAAGCACAGAAGTATATAAAGCACAGTGGGTCAATTATAGACAATTGATCTGGCAGTTCAACAGATATAGCTGTCATATATCACTCAGTCTTAATCACTTACAGCAATTAGGCTTAATTACTGGACCCAAAGAGGTCAACTTAATAAGGCAATGTGCATCCTTACATTAAATTGCTTTATAAAATACACTGAGATAAAAAAAAAATATGCAACAAAATTTAATGATATAAAACTGTAATATAATACAGACATTCTCTGATTACATAATGTTATCATAAAGTATGTACAGTTGACTTAAATAAGACAAAAGTATGAAAGGAATTCCAAGAAAAAATAGGAATGGCACTTTGATTAAACACATTGCAGAATTCATTTTAAAAGATATTGGATACTGCCCAAAGGCATTAAAAGAGATAGAAATGCAAGATTGTAGAAGTGACTCAATGCCCTCTGTTTTCATTAAAATTTTAAATTGAAAATTCAGAATCAAATAATTACTATAAATCTAAAATAAGCAAATCAATATGAGAGACTTCTACACAGGTAATTGGAAAATCCTTTTCAATTGATAGACATACCCAAGTTATATTGTGTCAATTTTACACTCTTCACTTCGGAATCACAATCATAATCCAGGAAAAATATACAAACTTGTAAATTAAGGCAAAATCTGCCTGTTAGCAAAACTATCAACTGTCAAGAAATTTGTAGTAAAGAACATAAAGTGAAGATGCTCCATTAATCCCATCAATTATTAACCCCCACACATTAACTCGAGAATAACATGTGCTTGGCATCACTCCATCACAAAGTGAGTTGCAGCTAGCTACCTGTTCCTTGCCATGTGCAGATCATGCTGTTTTTATTTACACTCTTTAGTTATGTTAACTGGCAGGTGAAAAATGAGGGAAGAAGAAAAACTTACATACATACAGCAAATTAACAGTGTCATTAAAATGGTAGTCTTTGTCTAAAGACATATATCTTATACTAATTGAGTCACATAATAACTTAATTAGCAGATGTATATTTTATCCAGCAAGTTTATTTAAGGAAGCACTTTTAATTTTGATTTTAAAGAAAATCTTAGCTGCATATGTCAAAACGCATTTTAAAGCTTTGGTACTGTCAGTAATGCATTTTGAACTTTGGTTTCATGCAGGGGAAAAAAAAGAATGGAAGATTCTAATCATACTTGTGAGTGACAAAATCAGAGTTTTTTGACTCTATCATGAACCCATAGAAGAATAAAGTCATAATACATGCATGCTACCCCTAGACTATTTTATCATACTTTACAGCCTATAGATATAATCTCCTCATCTTCATGCAGAATAGTCTCTGTTTAACGATACTAATAAGGAAGTAGACAACATACAGAAAAATACCCGATGTAGTCCAAAAATCACAGGCATGCAAGTGTTTCCTTAAATGCTCTGATAAATGGATAGCTTCAACATCAATAACTCAGGTGTGTTGTTATTTCACAGTACAGTGGAACTTGTCTAATCTGGATGTTGTGTAATCCAAAATCTTGTCAGAGTATTACAATGAAAACATCATGTCTCTTTGAGTAAATTCGATCATTTAAAATGTTGTCTAGTCCAGAATATTGTCTAATCCAGCCAATTTCTATGGAACCTGAGTGAGGTCTGGATTAGACAAGTTTTACTGTATCTGTGTACAAACAATAATTTCACAGGTTACTATCTTTGATTTCTTCAGAATTCTTGCTTTGGTCTTTCAATATATTGTACAAATTTATACATTTTTTTAAATTGCAGATCAATGCTGTCCAGAGTCTGGCCCAACACAAGGAAAGTTAAAAGGTCTGAATGAATATGGTTATTCTGAAGAATTTGTAAAACAAAAAACAGTGTCAGTAAAAATACCTATTCTGATATCAAATGAATATTTTATTATCTAAGTCTGAAAATAATTACACTTGAAAAAGAATGTTTGTCAGATGTTATTGTTTGCTGTGTTACATACTTAAAAATAGAATGTTCCTACACAGAATTTCATTGATAACCGTCATAGAAAAACATTTTTTTTTATAAAATGACCTATTCATTTTTTATCTATCATAGATTTGGCCATTTTACTTTACAAACATTCTGAAATATGTTCTGCTTTGAGGGGTTTTGACCATGTTGCCCCCCTCCCCCCTTCCCCTTTTGAGGGCTCCCAGAACCCATGACAAAAATTGCCTTACAATCATTGGAAAAACTAATTGCTACTTTAGCTCTAACAGCTTGCATTCAGGTGCAATTCACTTTCTCTTTTGTCCATTCATTCTTCAATCCTTCAATATTATGTCATTGAATATGTACAAAACTAAATAATACTATTGATGTAAACAAATAGAACTGTATAAATATACATGTATGTACTATGTACAAGCCAGTAAAGCTTTAAAGATTAGTTTGTGTTTATTTAGCTTTGTAATAATATGTTAAGGGCTTTATTATAATCATCCAGAGGTAAGATCTGTGGAACTTGTTTTAACTACTATATCTCAAATAATAGGATGGACGAAATATCAAACAAATGTACACTTTGTGTAAAAATTTAATGAACAATCAGTCCTTATTTATAACGGTTACCCTACTATACGGCCATTATATCAGACCACATTCTTCACATAGTTGAGATAGAATTTCATAATGCGAACACGAACATAAACAATGTTAATTTTACAGTTTTCAGAAAGGTCGGGGTTTTCATTTCTCATGTGAAGTATGATTTGTTCCATCTGAATAAGGTGAATTACCTGAGAGGCCAGAAATTAGTCCACATGGTTCGACTATTAACGTAAATTTCACCTCGTTATCTAGGTCAGAACTAAAACATTAATGTTATCCACTGAATACACACAGACAGACAGATAATCCTAGAGAAAGGTCACAAGAAGAATAAGGTCACAGTTTTCAGTTGGCCAGATATACTCCTTACTTATATTTCATCTGGTGGACAAAGGCAGCCATGCATGGTGTACTACACCATAGACCTTATCTTGTAATCCTGTGGGCCAAACCTTACCTTTAACCGATTGTCTTGTTTGTATTTCCACTGCTCAATGAATCTACAGTGTCCTTGTCACCTGTGATATTTGGAGATTTAAAGTTGTTGGCTGAAATACATGAATGATAAACGTGTTAAAAATTTTAGTTCAATCAGACTTATTTCACATACCATAAGAAACTTTAAAAAATGTAAGATTTTGTGTTTAACAGTCATTCTAACACCATTTTTCTTTCAATCATAATACATAAAGATTTATTTAGTAATTAGAAGAATTTTTGTGAATATAAAAAAGTTAAATCTCAACTGTTTACTCCACTTTTGATATATTGTTTTACTTCTTGTTTTAACCTAATCAAGTAAAATTATCAAACTCAATACATAACACCATTGATAAAATTTTCATAATTCAATATTTTTCCAAGCTTTTTAAATAAAGTGTAAAACAAATTATTTCTCTTTCACACACAAAAAAAAAATACTTCTGCATTGAAGGATATTCAGTAAATGTGTAAAAATTAAATGAAATTAATGCACTATTTTTACCTTATATTACAAAAAAACTATAATCTAGGCAGTGGTCAATTAAAATTAACCTTAGCAAAGGAGAAATGGTTCGGATAATAGTATGTATAGCCAATGACAAACAGGAAAAAATAAAGCTGGAGAAGTGCTCAGGATTAGTGGACCCAGCTCGAATGACCGCAGTCATCTTAAGAGACACACGTACAACATCATCTCGAGACCACACCATTAAATTCCTCAGTGATGAGTCCTTACATGTAACTTAAAACCTTTGATGAGACTTCAAATTCAGTAAGATGGCTCCTGAACAGTTCAAACCACAAATATTTCATGATCTTATTTAACCAATGATCATCAAAGGATTAGTGTTTTTTTTTTTTTAATACCAGGTGTGTGTGCATGCTTGTGTGGTTTTTTTCTTTCTTTGGCTGAAGATGGCATCAAATCTTGTTCCCAACACTTCTTGTTACAATAATGCTATTATATCCACTCTCAGACCTTGTATTCATAAAAATACTTACACAAAGAGTTCATAGATTTAAAGGTCAAAAACACTTTAACATCCAATGATTTTCATATTTGTCATTTCCAGCATATACATGTATATGATTCAGTTGACCAAATGGCTAAACATGCAAAAGACATCTGTTACGAAACCCAAAATATCAAGCCTACAGAGTTAAAGAATACTTGTGAGATACTATTTCTTCTAATCAAAGGAAATTAGAAAATTATGAAACCTTTTTTTTTTTTACAATGTCTGAAAGAACAATGCAAACCTGCTCAAATGAATATATATTTTGGTCCAAAAGATGTTTCATAATTATATCCATGCATGTACATTACAAGTATAAAGAAAGAATTTCAAAGTTCAGGACAGAATTATATTACAACTTTTGTGATATTTTCTTCATGTTACATAAAGAGTAAAAAACTACATTTTTTGTTCCGGTAATTTTGGGATTTTTTGTCTTGCATTCTTTTACTGTATCTCATTTTTGTTTCTTTTCACTAAGACACAAAAATAAATGTTAGATTTTCTTGTGAATTATTAGCTGCCTACCTGGAAATTTGCCTATACCTTAAACTGGTGCAGCAAAATTGTAGTATTTTTTATTTTGTACATCATTTTCATTTTTCAATTTTTGAAGAAATGGATAGAGTATTACCTTTTAGAAAATGTCGTTTGAAGTGCGATCACATTCGTTGATTGAGGTGAGCTTTGTAATTTTTATGAACTGTGTTCTTTTATTATGAAGTTCTATATTTATATAGACGTAGCTCCACCTATGACTGCATGACTTCATGCCTCGAGACGTATATTTCTGGGCTTTTTGTGCTCTGACATCATATAAGAGGTTTCCTCCTTATATAACCAAACAAATTTGATCCAAACAAAAACGGGTCGTTTTCAAGAGTCTGGTACCATTCACTTCCTACTTCAGGAAGCGTACTACAACCCTGAGTAATTGAACTTCAGTTTCATCAACAATTGCCAATTTGGGAACATGGTCCAAATAATTAAAATAATTGGGAATTAACATGATATGATTATCAATCATTGAAAAGTGTAAATTCTTTTTGTAAACATAAATGTATTACAACATTCTATAATTATAATGATCATTTGAATTACCACGCAATTTTCACAGGAACAAACTTGGAACTTGGAAATCTTCACTTCTGTCTATGTTAAATGTTCAATTTATATTGGCTGTTTTTATTTTTTTACTGAACACCCTAACTAAATCATTTCCTTTGAAAACTTGCAAGATAATTCATGAGCTGTTAAAAATCACAAAATTGTTTACCAAACATGTCAATTAATCTATAACACAAGCTTTTCTAAACTGAGAAAGTATATGTTAAAAATATACACAGCAATGTCCCATAGGGTGTAGAATTTCTTAATAAACTAGGTCTGTATTGAAATTGATGCACTATTCACACGAATGCTCATTAATTTTAACTTTGCAATATATTGATGCAAAGTTATAAATAATGATATTAATTAAATTAATATGAATGAGTGTTCACACGACAGTTAATGTGAAGTAAAGTAATGCAGATGAAAATATGATAATATTTATTAAGCCTATTTTGAGTATATTTGCAAATTTTTTGGCCCCTAGCTTATGCAGAGCAGATACTTGTAAACTGCTTTTTATTTGAGAGACTTTCTGCTCTTGAAAATTAATTTTTTTTCTCACTCAAATTTGTTTTATAATTGATGATATATAACAGAAGTCAACATTTGTAAATACCAATTAACTGTCCTGTGAAAATAAGATGTCACAAAAATTTGGTGATCTGTATAATAGTATACATCTGTCAAAATGTCATAGTACTGGTGTCTGTAAACATAATTTTTCTTTGTTTTTCACTCAAAAAAAGCATGAGTACATATATATGACCACCAATATTATGTTATTTTGCATGCATCAAAATTGATGTAAATTGAAGATCCTAGTATTTTCAAAGGTTCTATGTTAAGGTCAAGATCTAGTAAATGAAAAGAGCCTACAGATTTCTCAAACTTCAGAAATAAATTCCTTTTATGATGCTTTATAACTATAGCTCGGTCAAATAAGGTGTATCGGGGCATAATTTGCAAGAAAACAAGACGAAAAACCATCTTGTAAACTGTCATTTTCAATGAAAAATTAAGAAAGCCAGTCACGAATATGGGAGTTTTTTCCATATCAGACGAAGGAAATGTATTCAGATTGCCTACAGTCTCTCAGAAAACGGTAATTTGTATGTTCTTAGCCTCTTCTTTAAAATAATGTAAAATTGAATATAGGTATCGGGATTACTTTTCACATGATTTCAAATTGAATGCCATGAAAGCACTTTATTTTCTACATAATTCTATTGGAGCTGTAAAGTACGGGAAAAGGAAAGTTTAAATTGATTATGACGTCATAATGAATCTAGCACCAAAAAGACGGTCTAAAGTCATTTACTAGATCTTGACCTTAATTCTATTTAGCTTCACTTAGCATTCACACTGAGTTAATGCAAATTTATTGGCATTTTTTTTTTTCTTCATTAACTGAAAGACTTGATTGAGTGATGGAAGTGCCCATATGAATTAAGCTGTAACAAAAGACTAGATTGGGTGAATGGCAGTGCCCATATCAATAAAGCTGTAATAAAACACTTGATTGGGTGAATTGCAGTGCCCATATCAATTAAGCTGTAACAAAAGACTTAATTCAGTGAATGACAGTGCCCATATGAATTAAGTTATAACAAAAGACTTGATTGAGTGAATGGCAGTGTCCATACCACTTAAGCTGTAACAAAAGACTTAATTCAGTGAATGACAGTGCCCATATGAACTAAGTTATAACAAAAGACTTGATTGAGAGAATGGCAGTGCCCATATCAATAAAGCTGTAATAAAACACTTGATTGGGTGAATTGCAGTGCCCATATCAATTAAGCTGTAACAAAAGATTTAATTCAGTGAATGACAGTGCCCATATGAATTAAGTTACAACAAAAGACTTAATTCAGTGAATGACATTGCCCATATGAATTAAGTTATAACAAAAAGACTTGACTGAGTGAATGGCAGTGCCCATATGACTTAATTAAGCTGTAACAAAAGACTTAATTCAGTGAATGACAGCACCCATATGAATTAAGTTATAACAAAAGACTTAATTTAGTGAATGACAGTGCCCATATGAAGCTGCAACACAATGTTCAATACAAAGTATCTAATATCCTCAAACCCCTCTGTTTTCTTTTGATTTCCAATATTTGCTGCACATCAAGGCTGTTTGAAGGGAATCAAACAGATGAACAAATTATCCTTCAAGATTATATCTTTACTCTGCATCCAGTTATTTCTTTCAGACCAAATTATCATACTTATACTGGTATTCCAAATTAAATCTACTGATTTCCATAAAATAAATTACATCTATCAAAAATATTGAGAATGACATGCTTGTCTGATGTTCATAATTGCACATTCATTTATCAAATAAAAAAAAAATATACAATATGGCTATAACATAAAATGATTAGAATGTTTTCCCAAAATAAATATTGATCTCCGTGAATTTTATAGCATTTTCCCAAAGTCTCCTACCTCCATAAACAGAAGATTGCACTTTCATCACTGAATGGTCGTAATGTAGCTGGGTCATCAAAGTCCCTAGGTGTACCATCTGTATCTAGTCATGAATTAATCACCATCTTCACTTCATTTCATTCCATGCAGAAAGTCCTGAATTATTGCTGACCAACAGATTTAAATCATATAGAATACTCAGTTTATAAATTGTAAAATTGCCTCATAATTCGGATCTCTTTTTTTCCACACTACTATTTATATTTCAGCTTGCTTGAGGTATGTCTGGGTAGATCTTTTACTGTTATACCCCCAGAAAGAGTTACATACATTTAATCAACAACAAAAGTATTTCATGTCAAAATACAATTACTGACTTTTAAAACCTTGATTTTAACCTTGGGAAAGGTTACTGTAAACCACTTTTTATATGCAATATATTTTTCATTCACAAATCACCAATTGAAAACCGGTCCAAGACAAATTATATTCGCAATTATATTAGCAATTATAGAAGGTTTGCTGTTTCATTAACCTTTAAAAGTCTTTAACTGTTATGAGACCATAAATATCCACAACCAAAGCTACAGTAGCTCACCAATCTAGCAGCTATTTCTCAGACAAATGCCTAATAAGTTAGTTTACAGTATCAATCCCATATTGTCATGCTGTTCTGATGCAAAACCATGCCCATCACAATGACTTTTTAACAAGCTTAACTTAAAATTCTTCATTGTGCTCTTCAAAAATAAAATAAGTCCTTCATAGAATAAGTTTGAGAAGTAACATCCAAGCCCTTTAGTTTGACCTTTGACCATATAGGATCAAGATTAGTATATAATATATGGAAAGGAAAAAGAAAAAAAGGGTGAACAATTGAGGTGATTTACCCGGTAATGTTATTTATTTGAATGTTTTTTTTTTTTAAATATTGTTTTACAGCACTTTAATACATTTTTTATCAACAAGTTACCAAGATCTAATTAGATTTTGACAGGTAATTCCTGAGTAATTGAAGTTTATTTGACAGTAACCCGCCTGCCCCCAAATGTGAAATAGACCGATTCATCAGTATCTGATACGCCTCCTTCATGCACCATCACTAATTCTAATGTGTAGTGAGTTCATCATTTCATTTATCCTTCTCATGGGTGTATTATTCCATTCATCGAACAAGGCAGCCTTTAGTTTGTTGACAGTAGGCTAGCAGAGGCATAACACCCTCTTATGTCAGATTGGGAACAAATGTGGACCAGACGGAGGCCAATCAAGTGGGTAAATGTAATTGTTTGCAAGAAAATCTTTACAAATTTTGGCTTCATGGGGAGGAGGGTTATCTAATCTCAGCGAGATCATGTAAAGCCAACAAGCTCGCAGAACAAACTGGGCAATCTGTTTCTTACATTTTTTGGGTGAAAGTGATGCATATGATTGCCTCTTGTAATAATTGGAGTGGGAATTACCAAAGTGGCAAGATGAATATCCCCCTCTTGAGGTCGCTTTGTTATGTGCGGATATCCCCATTGTGATCAGTTGGCAACCCTTCCAGCTCCTCTCAGACAATGGACAAGACGTTCTATGGTAGAAATGTTCACAATGAACTGAACTGCAAAACTGTTGTTGCCTTTGACCTTCCATTAGCAATGCAACAGCCTGACACCTCTGAACTTCATCAGTGATACTCTGATTGCAAGAAATCCAAACTGACTGTAAATAGCTCAAAACAATGTGTATACCTCTGGAGTATCAAGTGGTATGATTTGATGTTGACAAACTAGAACTGCTTCACAATTCTATTTATAACTTTTTACCACTTAACGTCATCAATTTCACCATTTAGTAATTCTGAGCAGATTTTGTTCCTCAGTGACTAGTAATCCTACATTTTTTTCCATAATTTTGGGCTTAAATGATTAGCGCATATCATGTTACCCCGTGTTTCTTTTTCTTTCAGTGTATATGTACGATCATTTCACAATTTATCAAGATCCCGATTCCCCCATCTTTTCTAGCCAAGGGAATTCATCATTGCATTTATTCTTCTCTTGAAAAGAGAACAGGTGCAGATCATCACCCTTGGCTAGCAAAGATGTAATTCCCAAGAATCTAATCTATTTATGAAAGTGTTTCTAACAATTTATACCAGCAATAAAGGTCTTTGAAATAAAATTCTGTTTTTCCCTTCATAGCAATAATGTATGTTAGAACACACTAAATGAAAAAACAAATTACCGTATGCTTGAAACTAGCCAAACAGAGTTGCCTCTCTTCATAAGTTAACAAATACAGGTAATACCTGGTTAAACAAATTCGAAGTTAGTAGAATTTTCTTAAGCAAATTAATTTTGTATCTCTCTAATGTGTGTTGATTGACTCAACACATTGGTTAATCTTATATAGTTCTGTAACATTAAAAGAGTTGATTTCAAACAAAGATGTATCATAATGTTGTGACTATATTTATTTAAAAGTTTTAACACTATACACAAAGTTTTTGTTTAATTTAAGATTAGTTATAATATCCAAGTTCTTTCAGTTTTGGATCTGCGTCTTCTCTCCTTAACACTGTAATTAAAAAAAAAGTTCATTTTATGACTATATCTTTTTTACTTACTATGGATAATTATACATTACATGTAGCAATTTATACCCAATATTGTTTATTTTTGTTTTATTTTGATATATGGCTTTAGAACCACTTAGAGATGAGCTCTTTTTTTTTTATCTATAAGTCTCACTTTTCCTGTCATAAAAAAAGACTGAGATCAAAAGGTGAGCTTGTCTTAGTATTATGGCTCCCAAACCTGATGCCATGGTTCTCATGTGACTCAAGAATCTGCACAATGGATGCATCAAAATTATTTGGGATGCAACATTGTTAACAAGAGGTCCATGGGCCACAGTATTCACCTAAGTCACTATGGCCTATCTGTTCATTCCTATGTAAAATTTTGATCACATACTGTGATCCCACCCTACCACCAGGGGCCATGATTTGAAAAAAATTGAATCTAACTGATTATATTAACTACATTTGAATCAGATATATATAAATATGATTAATTGTGGCCTTGCTGTTCTTGAAAAGATTTTTTAAAGATTTTTCCTGTATATTTCAATCTCAAGGTAAAACTTTGATCCTTTATTGTGGCCTCACCCTAATCTGGGGGATCATGATTTGAAAAACTTAGAATTTTCACTTCCTCAGGAAACTTCCATATAAGTTTCACTTTTTGTGACCCAGTGGTTCTTGAAAAGAAGACGTTTTTAAGACCCCACCCTATTTTTGTCTTTTCTTGATTATCTCCCCTTGAAAGTGGGCTTGACCCTTCATCTGGCCAATTTAGAATCACCTTTACCCAAGAATGTTTTGTGCCAACTTTGGTTAAATTTGGCCCGGTGGTTCTTAAGAAGAAATTGAAAATTTGAAAAGTTTACAGACGGACGGAAAGTCTAACAGATGGATGCAGGACAAGGGAGTGATCAGAATAGCTCACTTGAGCTTTCAGCTCAGGTGAGCTAAAAAAACTATTCCTTTTAAAGATGTAGACAGGCACAGTTTACATTTACTTGATTTATCTGAAAACTCGGTATTCAGCTCCTTAAATTTAACTGGGACTCAAGCTTTTTGAAAACCATGCATCCAGAGATTCAAAAAAATCCAAAATGAAATGAGAAATCTAGATGCTCCTGATAGAAATTGATTTGAAATTACAGAAGTTCAATCAAACTTGCTTTTTTCACTGAGTTACTGGATATGCACAAAGAATGAGTTATTGCCCTTTTACACACTCTTTCTATCAATTTCTTGTTACAACAATATTTTACCAAGATGAATAAACTTCCAACAAAAACAGCATGCACATTTGCTTTTGAAGAAGAAAATTATGTCATTTTAATTATATATGCAGTCACCAAGGGTCAAAGTGAAATTTGATGTATTTTCAACAAAAACTGAGCAGTTTTGATTTTCAGAAATTCACAGGGCCAAAAAAGGTCCTAAGTGAACCTTGTTCTCTGTTTTATTTAATGAATGAATACAATTAAATTTGGTATGCGAATTTCAATGCAATTCTACAAAAGCAAATACCTTTGTTATTCTAAATAAATTTCTTACCTCTGTAATGACAGTGATAGGCCTTTGAGGTGAAATCAATTCTCCTTTGCTGAGCCATCAATGGAAAAAAGCTAATTACCACTGTAAATAAAATGACAAAAAAATCATGACCTAAATAAACTAAAAAGACTGATATTCATACAAAGCCAACAGTATTCTCACATCATATTAAAGAATGTGTTTGCTGACAGAGACAGATGGACCAGGCTATAATTACATGTATATAAGGTACATGCAACCTGTTGTGTATACAGACAGAGAGACAAACAGACTAGGTGATTACCAAAAGTATAAGGTACATATAATCTGTTGTGTTCACAGACAGAGAGACAGATGGACCAGCGATAACTACATATATATAAGGTACATGCAACCTGTTGTGTATACAGACAGAGAGACAGACAGACTAGGTGATTACCACAGGTATAAGGTACATACTCGTATAATCTGTTGTGTTCACAGACAGAGACAGATGGACCAGGAGATTACTACATGTATAAGGTACATGTATGCAACCTGTTGTGTATACAGACAGAGAGACAGACAGACTAGGTGATTACCACAGGTATAAGGTACATATAATCTGTTGTGTTCACAGACAGAGAGACAGGTGATTACTACACCCGTATAAGGTACATAATTCCTATTGTGCCACCCTAATACTTGTAATTACATACAGTGAACATTAATAACTCTAATCATGTTTATTATACATATAACTTAATATAAGATTATAATAAGATTAAGAAAATAAGTTAAAAAATGTCAACAATTGCTATATTTGAATTTGTTTTAAAAAATTATATTAACCAAAAAATGCTGGGATTCATTCTTCTGAGATAATCTTCATATCAATCCTTACAACATCAGACCCTCCTTAAACTCACCTTAAAACTAATCTATTCATATGCTATGCTCATGATATACATATTGTGTGTATAATCATGATAATATCTGATTTTGCTAATATATATGGAACGCCATAGCTGCCTGAAGGTCATTTTCATTTTATATGAGGTGGTATAACCTTTATGTGAAGTGGTGAAGTCATTATATATAGTGGTAAAATCATTATATTCAATGAAAACTTTATTATATGCAGTGGTTTTATCTTTATATACAGTGATAAAATCATTATATACAGTGATAAAATCATTATATTCATTGATAACTTTATTATATGCAGTGGTTTTATCATTATATTCAGTGGCAATGTCATTATATGTAGTGGTTAAATAATGTAATGAATTGATAGTACCGTTACATTATGCTGTAAAATCCTTATATCCAGTGGTTTTTCCATTATATACATTACTGATATCTTTCTGTGATGTGATGAATTGAATATATACAGTACAAACATAATTTGTGTGATAAAGCAATCATTACATTGTATGAAACCCGCTGCATGTGGAGTGCCAAGTTAATTTCATTCAGTGCGACACCTTTACATGAAGTGAAAAATCTATTATGTGCAGTACTAAGATCATTATATTATATTGTAAAATTATTATATATATTCCTAAAATCATGCTTTGCAGTGGTAACATCTTTATATGAGGTGGTTAATTAATTATATGATGTTGTTAATTTGTTATATGATGTGGTCAATTCTTTTTATGCATTAGTCGTTTCATGTTATGCAGTGGTAACTTCTTTATCATCATCTAAACTGGTCCTCTTGCAAAAACATTTTTAAAAAATGCGCGGAGTTCCAGTTTAAAGAGTGTTTGAAAATAGGAAACCCGGGCCGTGGCAAATTAAAAGTCGGGACTATTCGAGATTTTTCAAATTTCTGATTTAAAATTTTCAGACTCTTTTTTTAGGCTAATGTGTTTTCGCTGTAAAAATTGTATTTAAATACTTGGTATTTTAGATTTTCTTTACGATTTTTGGTTTCAAGTAAAATTGGTAGGCAGTTTCAATTTTCTGATTTAATATTTTATCCATTGTGCTATAAGTACTTAGTATTTTAGATTTTTTTTTTTGGCGATTGTTGATTTCCATGTTGGTAAAATGTGTAGACTGGGTTGGCGATATTTTATGTGTGTGTTTTTGTTGTTGACATATTTGATAAAAATCTAATAAACTTAAAAATTATTCCGATGTTAAACACTGTATTTTAACTAAAAAAACTTTTTCTTTTTGATAGTTATTTCTTTATTTGAAAATGCTATTTTTATGCAAAATACACATTTTCATTAAAAAAAAAAAAGGATTATTTAACCAGATCCGATCATCCGGGAAGAACCTGGTGCAAAACACCATAATTCATTTCTAATTTCATAATATGCAAATGTGCACTTGTATCTATTTGTTAGTAGATGGAAGGAAACTGGATTACGTTAAATATGTAATTTGTTTAATAATTTTTTCGGGGGGGGGGGGGGGGGGGGGATGTTAAATTACTAATATCAACTATTTATAAGACTGTTTCTAAGACTTCAGAAAACCTTAAATCACATTGAAATGCTTAAAATAAAAATTGCTGCATGAAAACATTTCATTTTCAAGTTTCATCTTTGCCGTCGCCAACGTGGCACGGTGATTAGAGTGTCTGCTCTAAGAGACGCGGAATAAGGAGTCAATCCTTACGTCACGGGTTCGAATCCGACAGTGGGACGTTGAGACCGGTCCTTCGTAAGAGACCGCATAAAGCCATAAACCGAGGTCCCGTTCCACAGTAGGTGTTGGCACGAAAAAAATCCCTCACTGCTCAATGGCCGTAAGTGTCGAGTATAGGACAAAATTTGCAGCTCTCCACTGGCAAATTGTGGCGTCTCCATATGAGTGAAAAATTCTCGAGAGGAACGTTAAACAGCAAACAAACAACCAAATTAAAATCATTTTAGCCTTTTTGAATAAAATGATAAAATTAAGAGTTATCCTTCAAGGCTGAGGATCGGATATCCTTAAACCAAGCAACTTACGCGTGATTAAAGTTTGACACAAGGCTTTGCATTAATAGTCCTATAATTACATGTATATGTGATAATTCTTTAATTAATTTATATTTTATCAAATGGCATGTAGATAATGAATAAGTATTTCGGATTTTTTATGTTTAACTTCCGGGAGATCAAATCCAATTTTAATGAACCATTGGCATCGGAAGGAAATTGATAGTGGGTGGCTAATTGAAATAGAAAAAAAATCAAACCTGAAAAAAAACTTGACAAGCAAAAAAAAAAAAAAAGGAAAATTGTTCTTTCTCCAAACCCGAAAATCCTATTTCGGGGGTGTGGGTGGGTGGGTGGGTGGGTGGGGGGGGTTGGTCGAACATCTCTCAGTACCAAATTCTTTTAAACACTACCAATTACCCTTCTTTCACTACAATGAATCGTGCCTGTAGAAAGTGGGGAGGGGGGGGGGCTAGACCTACGCCCGAATTTTCAATGCCTACATTACGTCTACCTTTGTAAAAAAAAAAAAGGGGGGGAAATAGCCCCCCCGGTTCCGACGCCTATGTGAACCAGTTTTTCTTAAACGTGTCATTTCACTCAAAAAATGCCTTTCAAAGAATGAATAATTTTTAACATCAGAATAATTTAAAAGTTTATTAGCTTTCTGTCAAATATGGCAAAAAAACAAACAAACAAACGAACAAAAAACAACAAACAAAACACGTAAAATGTCTACTTGATTGCCTACCCGATTTACCAACCTCACGGGCGGATTCAGAAAGGGCCTATGGCCCCCCCCCCCCCTTGTGTCCAAAATATACATAAGATTTAATAAATCAATTGTTTTTTGGTTTGGCTGTGGGCTACCTACCCCGACCAAAAACTTGTCGGGCCCCCCTTTTCAAGATTCCTGGATCCACCACTGAACTTGGAAATCAACAATCGCCAAGAAAATCTAAATTACTAAGTATTTTAAAATTAAATGCAATTTTTACAGCGAATACACATTAACCTATAAAAATGAGTCTTAAAATTTCAGCACAGTTGATAAAATCAGGAAGCTGTATAATAGAATCAGAAATTAGAAAAATCTCGAATAGTCCCGGCTTTTATTTGCCACGGCCCGGGTTTCCTATTTTCAAACACTCTTTAAACTGGAACTCCGCGCATTTTTTTAAATAAAAGGACCAGTTTAGATGATGATAAAGAAGTTACCACTGCATAACATGAAACGTCTAATGCATATAAAGATTTGAGCACATCATATAACAAATTAACATCATCATATAATTAATTAACCACCTCATATAAAGATGTTACTACTGCAAAGCATGATTTAAGGAATATCTATAATAATTTTACTATATAATATAATGATCTTAGTACTGCACATAATAGATTTTTCACTTCATGTAAAGGTGTCGCACTGAATAAAATTAACTTGGCACTCCACATGCAGCGGGTTTCATACAATGTAATGATTGCTTTATCACACAAATTATGTTCGTACTGTATATATTGAATTCATCACATCACAGAAAGATATCAGTAATGTATAAAATGGAAAAACCACTGCATATAATGATTTTACAACATAATGTATCGATATTATCAATTCATTACATTATTTAACCACTACATATAATGACATTGCCACTGAATATAATGATAAAACCACTGCATATAATAAAGTTATCAATGAATATAATGATTTTATCACTGTATATAATGATAAAACCACTGCATATAATAAAGTTTTCATTGAATATAATGATTTTACCACTATATATAATGACTTCACCACTTCACATAAAGGTTATTCCACCTCATATAATATGAAATGACCTTCAGGCAGCTATGGCGTTCCATAAATATACATTGATTTTATTTACATATTAGCAATAAAAAAAATAACTATAATGCTTCTATACCCATTTGTAGGTCAGAAACTATTTAATAAAATGTATAATCATGATAATATCTGAGTTTGCTAAAATACATTGATATAATTATTATACATATCAATGGCAATAAAAAAATTACTATAATGCTTTTATACCCACTTGAAGGTCAGAAACTTTTTAATAAAATTCATGCATCCAAATTATTGAATTCACAAATATTTTTTTACCAAAGGATTTTTTTTTCAATAGGAGTTTATACTTATGGAGAAAAGAAAATCATCTTAATGCACAATTACAAGACAACTGCAAGATACTGTGAGGGGCTTCCTAAGTCTTTACGAAATGGACAGATCAAATTGTGCAAAGGTCAACATGGTAAATACAGACGGCAGCATACAGATAACTTCACATACTTTTTTATGGTCACCACTGGGTGACACATAATACTTTTGACAGTAAAACTTACACAATGTACTGGTTATCATCATGAAAGTCGGCCCAGGGTTGTTACTGATATGAAATTTCAATTCCACTCTTCCTGTAAATCAATGGGAAAAAAGTGTATTAGGAAAGGAGAAATGAATAAAGAAAATATATGGCTGGACCTGAGCTACCTGTAGGCTGATATCCACAGTTTGTGTAACCAAAACTACCACAAAAAGTAACATTTTAATTAAGACTTAATCATTTAATTAACTTCTAACCCTCAAAATGAAATTTTGAGACATTTTATGAAGACTGTATAAATTACATTCAAAACCATTCATTACTTCTTGTCACACAAGAAACACTCCTCTACATGACATCGCCTCTTAAGGGCTCCATATCACTTATCGTTTCTACAATATCTTTGGCATACATTGGACTTGTATGGAGGAAACTCGAACTACAATAATAATTGAACTTATTTTCATTCTTAGATACAGAAGCAGATCTTACTTTCAGGTTTGAGATATGCAAGTATATTCCGCATAGTGCGGTAATACGGATTGTTAACGGGACCATAGCGTTTCCCGGTGGCTCCTTTTCCTTCTGACATTTTATTTGGCCTAAAGTCCTCAAAATGTCGGAACCGTGTAAAAGTAGAGCCTATGCAAATATAAAATATTGTTTGCATTGCTACGAGATGAGAAAATATAAATAAAACAAAGTAGAAACATTGTCTAAAATGTGTCGTGCAACAGCTTTAAAATTTTTGTGAAGCTAGATAATGGAAAAAAAAAGAATTTCTTAAATCCGGATTAGTAATGTCTGCTGTTCCTGTTTTAGAAATTTCAATTTCTAAAATGGCTGCGCCTAGAGAAGACACGGAGCAGACCGACTATGGGTCTGCAACTAAGCCGTGTACGGCCAGGACGTGTTTTGATTTCGCCACTTTCATGAAAATGCAAGGAAAGACCATTGAAGTAAGTGCAGCTATAATTATTTCCTTGTTGTGATTGACTGACCATGAGAATATATCTGTGTAACATATTATATTACAGTGATCATGTGTGTGCAATACACTGATTGACCAGGTTCTTTTCACAAAATTTTCTTTTGAAACATTTTGTCAACTATATTTTGGACAATAAAATTGTGTTCTGGTCTTAATCTCTCTCTCTCTCTCTCTTTGGAGGGGGGTTAAACTTCTCAGTACAAATCCTTGTGAATGAACTTGCATGCAGTAACTAAAATACGACCGAATGTATTTGTTTAATTACGTTTATACGATATCTAACTTTTGGGTAAAAAATAATTGTGAATTATGTATTTTACATTCAACATTCAAATTAAATCTCTATACTAGCAATGTTAAATAAAATGACGCAATAATTTATCAAAATTTCAAAGAACATTATATGTCATTGTATTTATGTATTCTATGATTCTGCTGCAATCCTATTATTTCATATTGATATTTATGATAATTAAACCTTCGGGCAAGCAGATTTTTTCTTTGTTATTTTTATGTTAATTAATAAAATTTTACTCTTCTCCAATGGTAGACCTGCTAGGATAATGATGCCACAATTTTAATTCAACATTTGTAGCCTGTTGTTATTGCATCTCATAACATCATTTTTTTTTTTTACAATATTTTTATATTAACCAAGAGATATTTGAAAGTTATGCTTTCTTAACTTGATTTGGAATACCAGAAATGTTTTATTACAGGGATTTTCCACTACATTTTGGGAAAGGGGCCTGGGCCCTTGGAATTGGAAATTTAAAAACATTTGGGAAATTATATTATCAAGACAATTTAAAAAAAAATGCACATTGATGATGAATAAATTTGAGCTTTTATTTAATTATTCAGAACTTTCAGTCAGAAAAAGTTAAATAAACATGTTGTCAGTCATCAACAGAATAAGGCTTCCCTTAACTTTTGTCATTCTATTGATTTTCAGCTCTGACCATTATTAACACACAATTCATTTTTTGGGGGGAAAAGGGGGGGGGGGGGGTTTGCAATTAGAAATGAGGCTGAAATGGGGCAGTGGAAAATCGTCATATTAATGTACTACAAAATGATGATATGAAGTACAAAGATATATTTAATGAGATTGAATATGCCAGTTTTGTGGCAAAGAGATTCCAAAACACTTATTTTGTATATATTTTCAGGTAAATGGTTGCTATGCTTTAGCCTTCTTGTTGTTAAGCATGGAAAGAGGATTATTTTTTTTATTTAATGGACTTGTTAAAAAAAGATATTCCTTGAACTTTGTTTATCTATCAGTATGAATTTCCTCCATTGGTACATATTGTCATGGAAGCTTGCTACATGAATGGTGCTTCACATGCTGCTTGGAAGGGGGGGGGGGGGCAAAGATCTTTAAGGAGGGAGGAATGTGGCAGTCAGATGGGTTCAATTGCAGGTGGCCAGATAGTTCAGTTGGTAGAGTACCTGACTGGAGATTCTGCAGGCATGGGTTCGAATCCCAGTCTGGTTTGTCACATTTTCTCCTCCCTTTACAGATAAAAATAACTCTGACTATACACCTTCTTCAATCTGAAATGTCCATCACCTTTAGTTGCTGATAGAAAAAAAATCAATGCTTAAAAAATAACATTTATTATCACATTGAATATGATCAAACATTAAAAGAAAATATGCTGCCTCATACCACTATGAAAGACATAATTCATTTTTTATACTGCAGCATGAATGCAGTCTATTAAACACAAAATTAGACATTTCCATTTTGAATGAAAATAACAAAAAACAACATTCATTCTCTCCCTCCCATTCATAAATTACGATTGTACAAATTTGTCAACTAATAATAAATATAACCGTAATAATTTTGTATGAGATTCGAAAAATGTACAAATAATAATTGCATATTGTTGCAAAAGTAAAACAAAAAAATATCTTAAAATAAGGTTTGGACAATTTACTCCATGCAGTGAGTTTTACGTAGATTCAAAACTTAACTAATTAACATGAATGTAACTTCTCAAGTTCTCAGTCTGACCATTTCCTGATACCAAACATGTTGTGTTTACTAGGATTAATATACCTATGATTATTCATAACGACGTATACCACACTGCCTTTTGACAAGAAGAACATGGCTGGACCTAGCTGTTTTCCAAACATCTGTTTGTACCCAAGAATAAACTTTTCCTCCATCAATGTTCTAACATTGCCATTTGGATCCATTACGTTAATAGCTAGTCGTATTAGCATCTCTTTTGATGATGGCATGTCTACGGTGTAGGTATCCATTTGAATTCTCGTCTGCACATCATAATAACCGCTAGAGGGCAGCACAAGGTATTTATCCTCGGAAAAGTCCATCCCGCCATGCACATACGAATTCTTGTCTGTTTGCGACCATTTTATAATTCCTTTGAAAGAAAAAGTATTTAAATGTCATTAGTAAATGGATATATAAAACCAATAATATATACAGCCTACGGTACTAGCAAGCCTTGTAGATAATGTTATACGGAAATAATATTATGGTGAATAATTACCATGTTTGGCATTTGTATGTCTGTACTGCAAAAGGGCTATTGGATCTTCTTTCAGTCGTTCTATGAAAAATTAGATGATAATTAGTGAAAGTGATTTTGAAAATTTGATAATGTAAAAAAAAAAAAATTGTAATAGATATGACAGGTAAATTATGCATTCTTACTTGTATCATTGTTTTCTACACTGGATCGAGTTGGAGAAGCTGAAATCTGGAGATTAAAAAGAATAATTATATGTAGAGAAAAAATTGTGTTATTTATACAGCCCATTTCTAGTTGTGTAGTTGATAGAGCAAGATAAAAAAATCTGAACAAACCTTGGATACTGTGAGGAGGCTCACAACCAAACATATAAAGACTGATTGAAAGTAAAGCATTGTGAAGATTAATTAGTTACTTCTTTAAAGACGAGCGTAGATGTCATTTATATATATATAGTCCGGTAGGCATTTCTGAAATTCCGTTACTAGTATCTCTATATTTGTATTGCAATCCATTTATATTTTTAGTCCTTACCTTTAAGAACGTTGACTAATGCTAGTAGTTGGGGAATTCAGAATTCCGATTTCTTAATACATTTTACACCAGTCTAAGCATGCATCCTTAGTTTAAAAATAAAATAAGAAAGGATTGTAGCTTCCGCAGCAATTAGACAAAGATTCACTGTATATGTTCATCCAGGCACAGGATTGGTGTGTGGGCCACGTCAAAACTCCCCAGGCCGAGTAAAATCAGAGGACTATAACGTGTGACACAATATCAGTTCCGTATTTGAATCGTTTCACTTAAAAAAAGTAATTCTCAATGATCAAAAGAAACTAAGTGATCCTAGAGGTGTTTGATGAAAAATATTGCCTTAAAAAGTGGGGGGGGGGGACGCTTTTATTGACTTATTTCATTTATTTTCAACATGAAAACGACAAAATCATCGACACGGATTTGACACAAAGTCGTAAAAAAACAGAGGAAAATAATTACATAAAAAATTTGGGTAAGTAATAGTATAAGAGGGACAGACCAACGATAACGACGCACGACTTGTTTTATTTATTGCAGACGTTTAGTTTGATCAATGTGCAGTAAGACATGCAAGCAATATTTTTTGCTAACAACAGAAAAGAATTGTGTGGGAGTTCTGTAATTTCCAGAAGTTAATATTTAAAGAATTTAATAAACGTACACACAAGGCCAATGACCGTCACAGGGCTAAGCAATTCTGACACTGCAGAGAATATTTATAGGGATTATTGGAGGCAAATAATTGTCCAGATTTATAGATTTGATATAGATACATATATGACGAATTCAAATTTAGACTTTGCTAGTTCGGATACACTAAATAAAAATATGAATATTTGAAATATGTCAGTAATAATCTTTTTATGTCCGCTCAATTATTTCTAAATAAATGAGAACTTTAAAGAGGTACTTATATACGCTTTGAAAAAATCATTTTGTTTTCAGTTTGCAATTGTTGAATATATCTTTCTCGCTTCTAGAAATATTTAGCGTAAAAGTGCTGAATTGAATCAATAATGTCCTTTCTTTAACCCACATGCAGGATATGCCCTGCAATAGAAATGTGTGTTATCACCTTCAGACTTTGAAATGCTAATCAGCCTTGTTTTGTGGTTTTCGTTGATGTTTTTTCTTTACGTTAGAAATTATTACAAAATTCAAATGCGTAAACCAATCTTCCGCCCGTCAGTTAAATGTGTCTCACCCATCCCTACCCCTCCCCATTCATTTTGCAATATTTTCAGAACTAGACTTTTACTTTTTAGATGAGATATATTGTAAATTTTGTATTTACTGCCACCTGGTTAATTAAAGATTTACAATGTGTCATGTTCAGCGACATATTTAAAATCCTTCTTCATGTTATATATATATATATATATATATATATATATATATATATATATATATATATATATATATATATATATATATATATATATATATATATATGACATGATGCATCACTGTTAATTTACTTACAGAAGAAAATGGAAAAGAACAAGACTAAGCAGAAAGAATGTCCACTAGATAAAGACAGTTTGGGGCGAAACACGTGGTCATTCCTTCACACAATGGCCGCTTACTATCCGGAAAAACCCACTGAAACACAACAGAAAGATATGTCCAATTTCATCCATCTTTTCTCCAAGTTTTTTCCATGCGACTACTGTGCAGAAGACCTTCGCAAGGAGTAAGATTTTTTAACGCTATAAAATGATATATATATATATATATATATATATATATATATATATATATATATATATATATATATATATATATATATATATATATATAAGGTATCTGAGTCATATGACTTGTTGAAGCTGTTACGCACTACTTATGTTACATGAGGATGTACGTCTATCTTTTTAAGACTGAAGACAAACAAACCAGAAACAGCATCACGTGAAGAGCTCTCGCAGTGGATGTGTAGATTACATAACAAAGTGAACAAAAGAATCGGGAAGCCTGAGTTTGACTGTAGTCTCGTGGACGAGAGGTGGCGAGATGGATGGAAAGACGGAAGTTGCGGATAACTACCTCAGTATTTAGGGATCTTCTAACTGTGATATTTGAACGGCATTTTTGCTTTATTTTACTTAAACTGGGCTCAAAATGCAGAGAGAGAGAGAAACTGTATGTATCTGTTTATTATACACATTTGTTGCATCATGAATAAATCAACATTAATGTACAAGATTATCATTTTCTGAATTGTCACTGTTTGGTGGCCTTTGTGAAACACAACTGTAAAATACAAACTTTTGCACAAAAAAGTCCCAAAAATTTGACATGTTAATTAAGATACACAATATATTTTATGAAAATTTTCAGCAGGAATGGGCGCTTAAAAAATATCGATGTCTGCTCCTAGTTTTTCATATTCCGATGATAGGCAGGATTCTTATTTTAAATATGCATGTACGCTAATTCAATGAAATATGAAGATAATGGACAATAATTAAGCTCAAAGAGCAAACACGGACCTCTAAAATATCAGAGGTCGGATCAGGTGCCATGGAGGAGTAAGCGTCCTCTGTCGACCGGTCACACCCGCCGTGTGCTCCTTGTCATGATCGGGCAAACGGAAAAATTAGATAATTTAGTTTGAAAAAATGGCCTAACAATTTATATGAAAAACGATAGTCAACATTGGACAAAATGATAGATAGTATTTGCTGACTAGGTCATTGTAAACTGTCAATTGCTTGCCTCGTTTTAGAAATTGACCGTACGTAGAGTGTGCTCTGACGTATCGAATCAACTGGAAGACATAAACTCTTCATGCAGGTGATATGGGTTTTTTGCTGTAAAAATGAGGAAAATTGACGATAGAAAAGTTGAAGTCATCACCTTTATCATAAAGTTTTGTGTTAGGTTACCATTCACGTCTTTTTCTAGTAAAATATCCAAACATGAAACAGATGTGTCTGTGGTATTTTTATTTCGAGTTCAAAGGGATATATCAAATCAACATAGGAATGAAAATAAATATCTGGTATTGTTGATTGATAAAACGTCGTTGATATATATCTAAATGTTGAATTGAAGGCCATAACAAGGGACTTCTTTTCATGTAGAAAGTTTTGAATAAAATCTGCTGCATGTGAATACAAAGATAGGTATGCTAATAACGGGGCGCAATTAGTACCCATGAGAATTCCGACAGATTGTTGGAAGAGTTGATCTCCAAACACTACACATATATTGTCAATCAGAAATTCAAGTACTAGTGTACTAGTACTGGTGTGCATAATCAGATTTTTATCAGTTTGTATGTACGCTTGTGTGTACAATCTGTTTTTTTTTTCTTCTTCTTTTTTTTAAACATAATTTCGAAGAATAGGGTATTTTTTAAAATAATTTTGTCCAATCACAAAAGCTACCATCAATTCAATTATTTGAAGCTATCATTAATTTACAAAAATTTCTAATAATAAATTTTGATATCAATTAATTCATTTGAAGAGAGCAACAATTCAACTATTGAATGCACTCATTCAGAAAATTATGTTATCAACAATTGAATTGATGCGCGCAATAGTTCAGAAATGAAAACATCATTAATTATTTGAAGAGATCATCAATTTATTTGTTGCGTACATCAGATGAATTGATGATTTCTTCCAATAAATAAAGATATCTTCAATTATTTAAATTCATTTTAATTTGGTGTCCCATACTATAAACGATGATCTTTTTAATGTAAAGTTGTGAACATGATCAATATGGATCTTTATATAATAAACAGATTAAAGACAACAAAAAAGATACCTTAGCTGAGCATTTTTTTTCTTAAATGCCCTCTTTCTCTCACCATATCACTAAGTAAAAATATTTATGATCCATATTTTTTAGGTGCTTTGAAGAATTTAAAGCAATACTTAATGATTCTTGTTTTATTGGATTGCATGAAATGGACATTTTTGAAGTTAAATCTTTGCGACACATTTATATATTGTATCGGTGAATTTACAAAGCTTGTAAATATTTGTTTTCCTTTCAGAGCGTTTAATTCAATGGCATCGCAAAAAAAAAAAACAAACAAACAAACAAACAATTAAAAACATGGGACTGCTACCTTTGAAATTTCAAATCACAGGAATTATTTGTTTAATATGTGGTACATTCATCAGGAAAATTTGTGGACACAAGATGATGCAATGGAATTAACTCACTTCTTATAACGTGTAGAATCAGACTTGAATCCTGCATGGGTCGCAAACAAATACCCTGGCTTTTAGAAGTTATACAATAACTTAATTCTCAAAGATTTCAGGAGAAACACGTGTCTTTTTTTTTCGCATTGTGCACGCCAATGTATTTGAAAAAATGTAGAAATGAGACTAGCTTAACATTTTCTAAAAACATCGTCATTAAATCCGGATAGGGACGTAGGTTACGTGCGCAGAGGAAAACTGTGCTTTGTTTAAAAATCTTTGGCGTGGACCATGGCGAGACACCTGTAATATCAACGAAAATTCTTGTGAAAAATCGAGACTCCGGCAAATGTGTAATAATTCAATAAATCACACCTAAATATTCAAAATGACTATGTATATTTTATCGGAATAAAATTTAATTAAAAAAGGGGTTATGTAAGAAAGATGCTACATAGTTTCGTAAATTATGCTACTAAAGAGAGTTATTGCTGAATAATGAACCATTTTACCAGTGTCATCTGTCTCAGCGCCTGGTTGTTACATGCCCAAGGGTTTCCTGAAATATTAATTGTCAGTTAATTTTGTTTTCTCTCTCTCTCTCTCTCTCTCTCTCTCTGGTCATGAAAACTTTAAATGGTTTCATCCTGGATATAGACCGTACTTAAAAGAATGTTACCAGAAAAATAGCATATGTCGCTTATACTTCCTGAGATATCAATGACTGGTAATCTTACAGCTGATGCCCATAAATAAATGATATAAATGTATATCTTATCATAAATAGAGGTGTCACGGGTAAGTTTCACAAAATTGTATTTATTTCATTGATAACCAGTATCAACACAGTTTCTCCAGCTTTCAATAAATGCTTTGTTATGTAAATTGTTATGTTGTTTATGCCCACAATTAAGGGATTTCAATGTTCAAAAAATTACTGCTGGTCTTTACTGAAATGGACATTCAATCACACCACCACACCCCCATTCCTGCCTTCAATTTTTTGTAGAATTTCTTTCATTCTTTTTCTTTCTTACAACTGAAAAACCTGACACTATCAAACAATGAATATTTTACGTGGCCTAACTCTATACTTGTACACCAATAAAAACGTTTTTTGAACTTCAAGAAAAATATCATTTAAAGGTTGAAATATTGAGTTAATATATTTTATTTTCAGCATAAGGATACCTGCAATTTTGCCACAGCAAAAATGTTTCAACACAACGAAGTATTGATGAACAGAATTCACTGTTGCTTATACTTAAATGGGAAAAAATCTTACAAATGAAGAATTTAATTTCTTCATCTTGGTCTACTAGTAATATAATGTTAAGAATACTTGATTCAATTACAAACTGTTTATAGTTTATTCAATTTTTAAATTAAAGGGGAGATTAATCCAACTGCATAATATTACCATGAAATTAGAACTCTTCAGTGTGCAGGGTCCTTAAAATTATTAGCTATATTGATATACCGTATACTGTTCAATTGATATTTCAACAGCTTGTTCCGTATAATACATATTGAGGTACTTGTAGGTTAAACTTTACACTTGAAATAGGATGAAGAGAAAAAATAAATTTTAAACATCTTTTGAAATCCCCCCCCCCCCCCATTTCAAGTCTCATAGTAGTTCCAAACTTACTGTTTTGAATGGTACCTGCAGTTTTCGGTCTACCTAATTTGAGATCTAGGGGATAATCCAGACTTATACTGGACCTGGGGCGTTCCGGTCTTCTATATAGGATATCTGGGTGCCAGTCAAACTGAAACGAAAGGTTGCAACATCCGAAAATATAAATATGGTCAGTATTCACGAAGATCCGCATGTATATACTTGAATTGTTACCAAAATATAACATTTTACATTTCAATCTCACAAAAAAGAGTAACTATAAATGCGGGGGAAACAAAAGAAAAGAGCGAAACATTTCAAAACACTGCAGGACTGAACATAGATAAAAATGTCTGCATTTCTTATAGGTATCATTGATACAAATAGAAAATAAACCTCGCTACCTCCTCCTCCTTTGCTCCTATTTTGATAAGAAATTCGTTTTCTGCTTTCTGTTTTAAATCCTCAGATTCAAACTCCATATTCCGCGGCGGTTGCATCCGGCAATTACCTGCCATTATGTCCATAGAATCTCATCACAAACAAATATAAGTTCTTAAATCTTATATCTCTCTGATCAACTGGTCTGTAGAAAAAAAAAACAACTTCTAGATTTAATTCGTTCACTTCAGAACTGATCAGCAAACATGATAGGAATCTCTATAAGAGGCATATTACTATCGATATGGTAATCCCAGGATATCTTTTATCTCTTCACTTATATTTGTATTTTCTTTGAACTTGAGTCAATGCTAATTCGAATATACCTCTGTTCTTAAAGAAACACGGGCACTCGAAACTAGATTTGGTGTCAGTTAAAGCTGCTTTTGGGTCACACGATATTAGCCATATAATTTCATTACATCATTTAAATACTTGAATTATGCAATACATAAAGACATCAAAAAACTATATCTGGATTATTGAGCCCTGGTCAAACGTCCAGTTTAGAATTAAACACTTAAAAGGTCTCTCAGGTTTATTAACTTAATATACTTATTTTTAACACCTTAAAAAGAATTTGGTGTTTACCTTTTTAACAAGAAACTCTAATGTACCAAAATCACTAAAGGTTCAAAATGATATCGCTTCACATGTTCCCTGTTTTTGTTTATTCTAACGATTAGCCGAAAGGGAATCATAAAGCATTGCCAAATAAATTGCAAACAAACTGTACATGTTATTTGCATAAAGATTTGAGAAGCAGATACCGATTCTACCTGTAACTTGCATTGCGAACATTGGTCGCATTGAGCTGTGGTGCTCGCCATATGTGACAAATTGTCTTGAAATTAAACCTTGTGGTGAAAATTAAAATTGACTTATTAATTAATTAACTCAAAATTAAAACATTGAAGTGAAATATTTATTTATTTATTTATTTATTTATTTATTTCCATTTAACCCTCCTCCTCCCCCCTTATTTATTTATCTTGTCGGGGGAGGGGGGAGGAGGAGGGTTAAATGGTACTGAAAACTAATTGCAGGAGTAAGGGTGTTAAAGTTTTTATCTTTTTGTTCCCCGCTTTCGCGAAAGCGATAAGACATTAAATCTCATTTATCTGTCAGTATGTCCGTCTGTCAGTCTATCTGTCACAGAAACTTTTAACCTTGATTATAACTTTTGAATAAGAAGAGGTAGAGCTTTCATATTTCGCATGTACATTACCTGAGACAAGAACTTTCCAGATACATGTATATTATGATTTTTTACTCAGTGACCTTGACCTTGAAGTTTGACCTACTTTTCAAAAAATGTAACAAACTTTAACCTTGGTCATAATATTTGAATGAGAAAAGATAGGGCTGTCATTTTTCACATGTACATTACCTGTGACAAGACCTTTCCAAACATACTATGATTTTTGACCCCGTGACCTTGAGTTTGACTCACTTTTCAAAAATTTTAACAAACTATAATCTTGGTCATAATTTTTGAATGAGAAACGATTGGGCTTTCATATTTCACATATACATTATTTTGTGACATGACCTTTCCAAATATACTATGATTTTTGACCCCGTGGTCTTGACTTTGAAATCTGGCCTACTTTTCAAAAACTTTAACGTTGGTTATAACTTTTGAATGAGAAAAAGATAGAGCTTTCATTTTTCACATGTGCAATTACCTGTGACAAGACATTTCTAAATATGCTATGATTTTTGACACCGTGACCTTGATTTTCAAGTTTGACCTAATTTTCAAAAGTTTTAACATTGGTGATAACTCTTGACTGATATTCAAAAATTCAAAAAAAAATTCACATTGATAATTTATAGCTTTTGATCGAGAGAAGATAGGACATATACAATTGACATGTGCATTACTGATTCAAGATCTTTCCGCATGCACTCTGGTTTTTGACCTTGTGACCTTGACCTTGATATTAAACTTACAGTCTTTTTTCAAAGTTAATTTTACATTGGTAATAATTTTTGAATGAAAGAAAATAGGGCATCAAGATGTATATTAACTATGAAAACACCTTTCAGAAAGATATATCATTTTTGACTTCATGACCTTGACCTAGAATTTTGACCTACTTATCAAAAAATTATAACTTTGGTCATAACTTTTGCTCCAGAGGAGAAAAGGCTTTCATATTTTTTTCACAGATGCATTACTTGTGACAAGATCTTTTGGATTGTATTCTGATATTTTCCTTCATGACCTTGATCTTGAAGTTTGACGCAGTTTTGAGAACCTTTTATCTTTGCCATTACTGTTATTAATTCAAAAATATATGTCTTTTTCGTATGATGCACAGACAAGACGGGATACACAAACAAGACAGCTATAATATGCCATAAATAAATGCATCCTAACCATTAAGACACCGAAAGCGGGTGACCACAATTGTTCGTTTACTGGCTAGTGTCTGCGCGCATTAGCATATTTAGATATGACGCAATAAATCGGATAGTTGTTACAAAAAATACACATTTCATTTGTTCTTCCCTCCGAATAAGGGTCATGAGAATTCACTCGAGCACTTTGCAGAAAGATTAAATATTTTTTAGGATTTATTCTAAGACAACTTTTAATCACTTCAGAAAATTACGACAATCTACCAGATTGCCACAATTTGTTGTAACTGAAAATGTTGCTTCCACGATTTTAACAGATAGGTTGTTCTGTCTTCACATTTCATAAGAAAGTGAACGATTTTTAGCAGCTACTTTTAATGTCATCGACTAAAAACTTATGGTGCTTTGAAAACCAATTTTGCTTAGCCTACAATAATTCAAAGGTGACTGCCTTGTCGAGAAAACCACACCCAGGAGTATATCTGATAACTATATTATATGATACCACAACATTACTCCAGATAACAAGGATGTATGGTGATACATATATATAGGATATCGCAACATTCCCTTGTTTCCATACTAACAAATCTCAGAGTTTCTTGGAACATTTTCGCTTCCTGATATTCTAATCATGTAAATTAAACACACAAACAACACAAAAATTGTCTGTATATTATCGATGGGCATAGTTAGGACTTTTTAAAAATCAGATTAGAATACTACCTTACCTTTATATATCAGGTACCAACAACGTGCGACTAATGCCATGAATATGTCGACGTTGTACTTATGTAAAACATTTATTTGTCCTAGACTTTTATCAATGCATAGCCCTACAACCACAACAAGCCAAGACCATTTCAATTTGCATACAATCGTTGATAAAATGGATCTATGCGGGGTACAGGCAACTTTAAATGGACTTTCAAAGGAAAATCAATTTAAAGAAAACGTACCCATGGTACATATATACATCTTTTATTCCTTTAAAATAACTCTCTTCTCCTATCTATCGATATCTAGAATCGTCTCTTTGATAAACATTATATTGTCCAATAGAAAGCAAATTCTCCTAAAAAAAACAACAACAACATAGATTTAATTTAAATATCTATTTCAGACAATGGTGTTTTGAAAGTATATTTTGTCGCAATTTTCGCATGTCCTTAAGTACAGTCATCCTTTATAAATAATGAAATGATATTTTCATTTCAACGAAAGCTCGAATCGCCTCATTTCGTTGCAATATTCGATCTTTTCCATTTGTGTTGTATAATTTTGCATTTGTATTTTATAATTTTTATTTGTATTCTTTAATTTTCCATTTGAATTAATTGTATAATTTTTCATTTGTATTGTATAGTTTTTCATTTGTATTATATAATTTTTATTTGGATTGTATAAGTTCCATTTGGGTTGTATAACATTTATTTGTATTCAATATTTTCCATTTTTTATTGTCAAAAACTTCATTTGTATTGTAGTTTTTTTTTTATTTATATTCGTTATTTTCCATTTGCATTGCATAATTTCTTATTTGTAATGTAAAATTTCTTATTTGTATGCGTGTATGCGATAATTTTTCATTTGTATTTTTATCCGAGGGATTGTTTATTTTTTTTTCGTTTCGAAGGAATTCATTGGTCAAGATTTAGTCTGTATCGTGTTGATGTTCCAGGTGCAATACAAATGAAAAATTATACAATACAAATGAAAAATTATACAATACAAATGGAAAATTATAGAATACAAATAAAAAATATACAATACAAATAGAAAATTATACAATACAAATGGAAAAAATCGAATATTGCAACGTTTGACTTGCCATAATACTGCATTCCATTGCAATCGATACACAAAAAAAAAAAAACAACAAATTGACCCTCTGGTGTTAAATGGAACAGCCTAATCGCGAAATGGTGACTAGTAAAAGACGTTAATGGTAATCTAACAAACAAGCATTATGATGAACGTGATGACCTTAACTTTTCAATCGTAAACTTCCCTTACTTATGCATCAATATATCACATGCATATGGGTGTATATTTCTCTCGGTTGATTCGATACGCAAGAGCATGCTCTACGTATGAACAATTTCTAGAACGAGGTAAGTTATTGACAAACAAGTTGATGAAACAAGGACATCAACAGTCTCGTTTAAAATCATCATTTCGTATGTTCTATGGTCGATACAATGACCTTGTCAGCAAATACAATCTATCATTAAGTCATATGCATACTGACTGACGTTTTTCATACTAATTGTTCGTAGGCCATTATTTACACACTGAATTGTCAACGGATATTTCCGTTATTTACCGATCATGACAAGGAGCACACGGCGGGTGTGACTGGTCGGCAGGGGATGCTTACTCCTCCATGACAGCTGGTCCCTCCTCTGATGTTTTTTGAGGTCCGTGTTTGCTCTGCTCCCGATTTGTATTCTTTTATTGGACTTTGAGCTTGAATACTGTTCGTTATCTCCATATTTCATGGTGACCTAATTCGTTTCTCTATAGATGAAATGATCAAGGTATTTTAGAGCTGTTAGTAGAATAGAAATAAAGTTCGCGCTTTAGTGAGTGTTGCAGAATAGCTTCCGAGGTCAAGAAATGTTGTTTGAAATAGAAAAGCCTCTGCTAACGCCTCGGCTTTTCTATTTCAAACAACATTTCTTGACCTCGGAAGCTATTCTGCAACACTCACTAAAACGCGAACTTTTTTCTTAACCTAACAACAAAACTTTATGATAAGAGTGATGACTTCACCTTTTCTATCGTCAACTTTCTTTACTTATGTAGCAATGTACTAGTGCCCTTATAACCTGCATATGGGGTATATATCTCCCAGTTGATTCGACACGCAAGAGCATGCTCCACGTACGAACCATTTCTAAAAGGATTAAATCGAATGCTGAATGACGTTTTTATACTAATAACTAACTGTTAGGCTATATTTTTTACACACTGAATTGTCTACTTTTTTCCCGTTTGTCCGATCATCACAATGAGCACACGGTGGGTGTGACCGGTCGACAGGGGATGCTAATAATTCATCAATGGCACCTGATCCCATCTCTGATGCTTTTTTAGAGGTCCGTGTTTACTCTGCTCCCGATCTGTATTGTTTCAATGAACTTTTGAGCTTGAATACCATTCGATATCTCCATATTCCATGCAGAGAAACTCTGTCACCAACAGCGCAAAACACCCCGCGTTACTCTCCGAATTATTGCTTCGTTTGTTTTTTGTTTGCTACACTTAGTATAATGCACTTAAACATTGTTTTAGTACTAGTAACAAAAAAGTGCAGTTGTTAGGCTTATATAACACCACTAAATAGAACGGGTATCACATTCACACATTACGTCTTGTACATGACTGAAATGTGAAAACGAGCACGTTGACACACATGTCAGAAATATCGATGGGACAGCGCATGTTCAGGAAAAGGTGCTTATACTGATTTCACATCAAACATGATAGACACAATAGATTACAGTGGCGGATTTAAGTTTTTTTTGGGGGGGGGGGGGGCCTCCCCCCTTAAAATTGTCAAAGTTAGCGTAAATCATAGTTTCGTCGAGAAAATGTAAAAATGTCTACTCTTTAGACCTCATTTTTACCCTACAAAATCTGTAGAATCCAGGACCCCCTGCTTACTTTTTGCGCCCCCCCCATCTTCAATTCCTGGATTCGCGCCTGGATTAAGTGTAATTTGACACATTCTTGAACTTGGCTGTTATAATATCACAGCATTTGATAATAAATTTTCAACATGGAAAAATAAATGACGCCACATTCTCATTCGTTTAAAATCAGCGCGGATTTTCCCGAAAGTGACGGAGTTAGGGGGTTTGGCAATTTAATATATTAGTATTCAGTAACTCTGTGAGTAAATCCATGTATACATGTCGAAAAAAAAATGTGGTAAATTATTTTTTGTTTTTATGCCCGTGTAATAGAAGATTCGGGGGGCACATAGTTTTTCCTGTGTCTGTCTGGGTTAACGAGAGCTGCATTAATTGTTGGTATAAATACATGTACAAGTTTACATGCTCTGTGGGGAAAATAAGAATTGTGGGGATATCCCCACATGGCTGAGTGTCTGTAAATGAATTGTGTGGATGTTCCCAAAGACATCCTTCGGAGTGACCATATTCTATTTAATTAAGAAAAGTGTTTGCAAGGGTAACTTCCCCCTTGAACATAAATTTTGTTGTTTTTTTGGATGTTTAATATGTTGAATTAGCATTGTCACCTGCCCAAAAGCGGTCTAGTACTGTGTTTTAAATGTAGAAACCGAAAACGGACATCGATACGAAGAACTGAGATTTTTGTCATGATTTTTATAAGTCCTAAGATAAAGTTCAACAAATTCAAATTTAAAATATAATGAAATAAATATGAAAAATTATAAGATTACCAATAAATATGCATGCATAAAAAATATTTCGTCGTAGAACTCGTAGCCACATCAAGTGTGTGTTACAGTTACGTGGATGGTTCTACTTCTTTTTACAATAAAAGTGAATTACTTGTTAGGATTTGATCTACACGGATTACGTTTTTAATTTTATAAAAGAAAGAAATATGTTAATTATTTGTATAATTGAATATAGCAGGATATAACGTACGTACTTTACACCGGAAGACATATTAATTTACATGTTATCTAGCATGTCTAGAGCCTGTTGATTCAAGATATATTGCTATTAATCATAATATCACAATAAAAAAAAAACGAATGTTTTTGATTTTAGTAACTTTGCTTTGTAATTGCGCTCAGTTTGCTCTTTGATTTACTTTTGAAGATTTAACATTATATGTTTAATACATGCCGTTTCCCTGACAAAGCCGTCTAGTGGAGGGAGGGGGGGGGATAAACAGTGATGAAGCGGGATTTGCTGCATCTAAATAAAAAAAGAATATGACATAACCAAATATATAATCTAATAACTACTATATAAAAGCACTTCATCTATGCACAAATGCATTGCAATCTTGATTAAAGACATCATAAATATCTGTTCACACATTCCCAAACGACAATCTATGAAAACATTCCGACAGATGTTTAATACATGTACATCTATTTTATTTATCATAAGTACAATTGATTAACATTAATCTATTTTATTGAGAAGAATAAGTTTTCCTTTCCTTATTTCATTATTTTTCTTGTCTATTTCTTTAAATAATACAATTACATGCTTATTTAATGTAGTTCTTTGCTTTGTATGGATGTCCGTTTTGGTTTTTGTTTTTATAACACAGTACTAGATTTACCGCTTTTGGGCAGGTGACAATGCTAATTCAACATATTAAACGTAATATTGTCGAAACTTTTATGTATTTGGGAATTAATATTAACCTAGAAAATGAGCCTGAAAAATTTGAAGAAATTCTGTTCATCGATAATAAAGATACCAATAAAAACCCGAAATCCGGGACAGTCGGGAGTCGGGAAGACTAGATTTACCGCTTACCCAAATGGCGGCAAAATTTTACGAAAGATGAGTGTTAAAGTGAAAAAAAGAGCAAATTTTAAGGCCGTTCATTTGAATAACATTAGTGAAACTTTTTGTTACATTGTTTTATGGATAAAACCCGGTAAGTTACGAGTGTGATTATAAGGTAATAGAGTTGAATGACTATATTCAGAGAAAATTGTAATTTTACGACTGACATTTATCAGTCAGGTTGGGCACACACCACCAAATGCAAATGGTCATTTAACCCCCGTTTGGTGGTGAATCGCCCATATCGGAGTCGGTTTTACTGACCAAATGATGGTTTTTTTTTTAATTCAAATCCAATTTTTATTATAATAACACAAAGGCGCACTGGCATAGGCATCGGGGAAATTGAGAAGGGGGGGGGGGGGCTCAAATCCAAGAAAGATCTAAAACGTGTAATATAAAAATATTAACAGGCCTGTAGGAAGCAATTTCACTTTGAGTGGGGGCACAACCATATATTTTCAGTTGGGGGCACTATCAATTACCAAACTTCCTTGACAAGCAAAAAAAAAAAAAAAAAAATCAGACATTTTTTTTGAGGGGGCACAATGATAAAGTAGCTATGAAGTTTACTATAATTTCAACATACAGTAGCTGTGATTTTGTTCTACATTAAGTGGGGGGGGGGCACAGACATACTCTTGCCCCCCCATATCTGAAAGTGGGGGGGCTAGTGCCCCCGCTACCCCCCTGTGACTATGCCTATGGGGGTCGATTTTCCATGTGTACTTTCTGTGGAACTTCGTAAAAAAAAATATGTATTGCTGTCTGCCGAACTTCTTGCTTAATCAATCCAAAAAAATATTTTTGTGTCTATTGGATAAAATTTCTATTTAGACCGGTTGTTTAACTCTTTAAAAGTTAACTTTCAATCGATCTTTGGATCTTCGTCTAGATAAATCTCTATAAAATCCCGTTAAACATGAGTTCTTCATATATTATTGGTATGGTGGGCACTTCCTGCTATAATATATATTCATTTTTACTACATTTGAATTTAACATTTATTCTTTAATTTCTTTTAGGATGAAATTGGGATTTCTATGCGACCTATTGTGGTTTAGTATGCATATTTATGATAAAAAAAAAAACTCCGCGTTGAATTTCCGATTTTTTTCGTTTATAACACCGATAAATGTCTATATTTTATTCCCCACGAGTTAAAATTATGCACCATTTCATGCCATTCCACGGAATTGAACAAAACGATTTTTCTCTCCCAAATGGTATGTAAATACTGCCTCTAATGTGGGCGATTGATCACCAAACCGGGGTTAAATGACCATTTGGTGGTGTGTGCCCAACCTGTTAGTAGTATTCCTAGCAGTAAAATGAGTGAATGCACAGTATAGACAACAAATCAGGAAAATCTGCCTCCCCCCTCACCTAAGCAGAAGAGGCAACCCAAGCCCCTTGGAAAATTGTAGGCCTAGAGAGTCCGAGCTAGTCTTTTTTTTTCATTTTTTTTAAAAATAGGTTTCATTTTATTTCTCAAACTTAATTGGACTAGTATTTACTGTAAGCATTTTTGGGGGGTAGCATGTTCATTGTGAATATATATATTCTTATTGAATACAGTTTGATGAGATAACGGGTTCAACTGTAACTGTAACACACGCAAAAAAGTAGGACTAATGGAGAAATACTCTAGACAGAGGAATACTATTGTATCAGTATGCTTTGAGAAAATATGAAGTAGGTAGGTTATTTGTTCACAAAAACTTCATGACGTACCTGACTCAAGAAAGTAGAATTTTTGATGATGCATCTTGAGGCCCCAGAATTTGTTAATTTAAAAGTAGGTCAAAGTGATATACAGTTGAACTTAGATATCTTGACAAGAATATCTCGAATATCATGGATATGTCACAATGATTTTGATTTTGGAAGTCCCAGCCACTTTTACCCTGGATATCTCGATTTCTCAGATATCTTGAAGTTTTTTCACAGGCCCCACTGAGTTCGAGATAACAAGATTTGACTGTAGCTTTTAAATTTTGTCATTATTTATTGTAAAATCTTTTCAGTTTTATTACAAGAGGTTTAGGACCATGTCAATAGTAGCATCTTAGGGTCTTTGAATATATTTATGAAAAAGTATACACCTGAAAGTATATATCAAATTGCTGCAGAACACCTAATTGGACTTTGAGAGCTCAAATTCTCTGTGTAAATGTTTCTATGGATCATTACATTACAATATTGATTGTGAGACATCACAATAGATCAGAGTACATGTACAATAAGCTCTAGATGGAAATTAGAAAGCATACCTTTTGAGATTACAATGAAAAGACAAAACTTTACAGGTACAACGAAAAACTCTTGATTGTTGAGGCACAGATAATTATCACTCACTTGGACAGATTATATTAAACCTAATTGTATTAGATGTTTAGATTTTCTATCAGTTTTGTCGGTAGGACCGATGATTTTCAGAAACTCTGTTAAAATGCATATTTTGGACACTGTGTAGCCTATAATCATCAAAGCTTTGTTCATTTAGTGTATCTTAAGGCATTGGAGTATGTCAGTCAAGAAATACTAAGGCGACTACTTTTGGAATTTTATGACTACCAGCATATACAAATACTTCTGATGCTAAGAGGCTTAAAATCATCACACTTTGTCAAATGATAAATCTTGGGTTCTGTGGAGTATATCAATTAAAAAGGAGGTCACTGTGAGTTACTTTTCAAATTTCATGGCTACATCTAAATATTTCGGATAATAAGAGGCTTAGAATCTTCAAACTGTCAGTTGATGCATGTTGGGTTCTTATAGAGTTCTTAAAGTGTGTTAATAAAAAGTAGGTCTCAGTGACCTACTAGTACATTTGGAATTTTATGGTTATATGTTATAATTCCAAACTTCCAATAATAATTAAAAAGCTTAGAATCATCAAACTTTGTCATTGATAAATTGGTTCTTTGGAGCTTTTCAACTAAAATGTAGGTCATGCTGACCTTCTTTTGGAATTTCATGGCTATAAATAATTCTTATAATAAAAGGCCTACGATCATCCCACTTAGTTGATGAATTGGGTCCTCGGAGTTTGTCCAGTATAAAGTGGGTCACAATGACCTATTTTTGGAATTTCACAGTTTTGTCTCAATATATAGGATATTAAGAGGCTTAAAATCATCAAACTTTTGTCAGTTGATGCATCTTGGGTTCTTTAGGTGTGTCAAGTGAAAAAGAAAAGGTCACGGTTAGCTACTTTCTGAATTTGATAGCTTATCACTATAAAATATTGTAACCTAAATAATATGACCACTATGACATATTAGGTCACCAACGTTAAATAATGGATGTAATCTGTTCCTGGGATGTTTCAATTCAAAAGTAGGTCACAGTGACCTAATTTTTTAATTTTATCATTTCATTTTCAAATCTTATTAACATCATTACATGGATACTAAGATGCCTAGGATTATCAAACCTTTTATTTGTCTTGGGATACATTGACCCAAAAGTAGGTCACAGTGTCAGTGTTTTACAATTCACCGTATAGTGAGAAATTATAGTGGGGTGCTAACTTTGGCTTATTTTAGCAGTTTTGTAGAAGGTCAATAATATTTTAATCGCCAAATTTGCAACCTTGTGTATAAGTAGAATTAAGTACTGTATACAAGAAAAATAACTTTGATCAGTCTGTTGTTAAACAATATACCTTTCATCTGGTATTGGTTTTTACTCAAACTCTTGCCTAAATCTGTATTTAAACATATATATTAAATGTACTGGAAACTCATTAAGAAGATAAAGTTCCTCTCTTTTGCAACATCATGGTACTCTGTGTCCGCCAAAAAGAGTTCCACCAAAATTACTGGCATACCTTTGAACAAGCAAAATGCCAAATTTTACACCCACTAAAAAAAACCCTATTCTGTATTAAAAGAATGATTCTAGATGAAAATTTTGGCTTATGGGCCATCAAATATTCTTTTTTTTTAATTATGGACCCAGGGGTTAGGGTGGTGTTAAAATAGGGGATCAAAGTTCACATAATGTTTAGTTGATTACACACTAAATAACATTTTTAATGCAAATTAGATACTTTTTTTTTTTATTACAGAATGTTCATTTTCTATTGATTTACATTGATGTTTTACCATTGGTTCATCACACAAAATGGCAGAACCTGCAAGCCAAAGTGTAAGTTTATATTTGGGTCATCCTTAAAAAATTGTTTGTTTGGAATTGCCGCCTTGGAGGTTTCAGACCCAGAAGGGAGGGAGGGAAATTATTTTTTTTTTTTTTTTCAAAATTAAATTAAAAATTTTGATAAAAATCTCAATAAGGAATGAACACATTATTTTCTGCCTTTTTTTAAAGGGTATCTCCCATCAACCAGGAACCCAGTTTTGCTTAGATCCTACACTTATTAAGTGATTGGGTGGCACATGTGGTAACACACCAAGAATTGATTGAATAAAAAATAATCTTATTTTTGGTCAGTAAAATTTTTCCAGGAGGGGCCATTTCAATGAGGCGGGAGGCAATTACAAACAAACAATAATTTTATTTTGGCCTTACAGAATAAAAGCCAAAGAGGATTATAGTATTTGTTGGACTTATGCTAAATAGTTGAAATGTGTTTGTAGCATTTTCATAGTACACTTTTCATAAAAAAGTCTTTTTTAGCTCACCGAGACAGAGTTGCAGGGGGAGTTTATGCTATACCCCTAACATCTCTGCATCCAGTTGTCTGTTGAAGCATTTTTTTGTGGGTCCCTTAGGCCAACATTTTTTAATAAAATAATTTACAGGAGCGCCGACTGCAATTTTTGCTAAAACCAAATAAAAATAAAAGTCCCTGTTGTTGATTTTATTCTTAAATTTCCCGCCGATCGTCAATGCAAGTGCACTAAGAAAATAAAATAATGTGCAAATAAGTCGGCATTTCTCATTGGCTGCTTTATTGAAAGCCATTATTATCATCCAATCAATTTACATTTGTTATCAACTGTTTCGTGCCAACATGGATGCAGAAATGTAAAATTTTACGAAAGTTGAAAAAACTGTCCTTATACACGATAGCTTTTCCAAGTCAACCATAGCTAACAGGAAAATCAATTAAAGTATATCCGATGACGAAGTTAAGTTGGAGTTAAAAAAAAAATTAAAGAAATCATCAGAATGATTTTACTTGAGGATATGTTGACAGGACTGTCACTTTCGCTGTGGGTACCATATACATTAGTTCTCTTTTACAATTTTAATACCTTTGATGAAAGTGATAAAAGAACTGAATGGAAATCAAAAATAGACATTTGAATTTTGTGAAGAATAAAATGAGACGTATATCCAAGAAACATTTTCAAACTTGTAACATTTTAAAAATATATCATATGCAGCACTGGGAAATTCATAACTATCTTGTTGTGTGTTAAATATCTTTAGAATAGATATAAACAGACACTGCAAATGAAACGGTATTTAATGTGTGAATACTTTGAAGATTTCAGAAGTTTGTTAATATGCATAAACATGCTGTATTGTAAAATACAGGTTTAAATCATGATTCTGGGTTTTATTTTATCATATATATTCAGATTCTCTTTATAACAATATTTTCCATTTTTGATTTGTTGGTTCATGATTTTTTTCAGTATTTTGAGCATAGAGAGGTTCTCATTATTAGGGGTGAAACGATACACCTCCTTCACGGTTCGATACGTATTGTATAATTTTGTCTCGGTTTGGTTATTTTCGATACGATACATTTTGATAGAAGGAAACAAATTCTACGTTGTTTTATGCTTTCTTTTTCTAAATCTAGTCACATATTTTACGAATTTTATTTGCAAATTGACTAGAAGAAATTGATTAAAATTATTTGACTGTCAAAAATTATTTTACAAGCTATCAGTCATCAAAATTTACGTTTTCTATACTTATTTATTCTGAGTAACGTGTTAAACCTTATGCCAAACCCGACTGAATAACGATCCCGACCGAAAAATGAACCGAACCGAAAATTAGAGATTTTGCACCGTGTATCAAACCGAGAAAAAATACCGCGGTGCATCGATACCGCGGTGAACCGTTTCACTCCTACTCATTATAAACTTTTTTTCTTTGGTCATCTTGTGGTTATGATGAATATTTTGATAAGAAATTCCTTAGATTTCCCCCATTTCTCATAAGGGTATAATAGTTTACTTTAATTTTTGTGTTGTGGTTATCATATTTCAAGCTCCACACCGTATATGTAGCAATTTTATCGAATAATTGAAATTTTAAAAAATCAGACACTTTTTCCATTTTTATTTTTTTTAGTCGACTGTGTAAAATTTGGAATTTTATTTTTATTTTATTTATTTTATTAGCTCACCTGAGCCAAAGGCTCAAGTGAGCTTTTCTGATCAAAATTTGTCCGTTGTCTGTCGTTGTCATCGGCGTTGTTGTAAACTTTTCACAATTTCATCTTCTTCTCCAGAACTACTGGGCCAATTTCAACCAAACTTGCCGCAAAGTATCCTTGGGTGAAGGGGATTCAAGTTTGTTCAAATGAAGGGCCATGCCCTCTTTCAAGGGGAGATAATAAAGAATTAGTGAAAAATTAATAGCATCTTTTAAAAATCTTCTTCTCAAGAACCACAGGGCCAGGAAAGATGAAACTCATGTGGAAGCATCCTCAGGTAATGTAGATTCAAGTTTGTTCAAATCGTGACCCCCGGCGGTAGGGCGGGGCCACAATGGAGGATCAAAGCTTTACATAGAAATATATAGGAAAAATCTTTAAAAATCTTCTTCTCAAGAACAGCAAAGCCATGAAGAGTCATATTTATATGGAAGCATCCTCAGGTAGTGTAGATTCAAGTTTGTTCATATCATGACCCCCGGGGGTAGGGCGGGGCCACAATGGACTATCAAAGTTTTACATAGAAGTATATAGGAAAAACCTTTAAAAATCTTCTTCTCAGAAACAGCAAAACCCTGATTGGTCATATTTATATGGAAGCATCCTCAGGTAGTGTAGATTCAAATTTATTCAAATCTTGACCTCCAAGATAGGGTGGGGCTACAATGGTGGATCAAAGTTTTACATTGAAATATATAGGGAAAACATTTAAAAATCTTCTTCTCAGGAACAGCAAAGCCATGATGAGTCATATTAATATGGAAGCATCATCAGGTAGTGTAGATTCTATTTTGTTCATATCTTGACCCCTGGGGGTAGGGTGGGGCCACAGTGGAGGATCAAAGTCTTAAATAGAAATATATAGGAAAATATCTTCTTCTGAAGTACTGCAAAGCCATGATTAGTCATTTTGATATGGAAGCATCCTCAGGTAGTGTAGATTCAAATTTGTTAAAATGATGACCCCTAGGGATAGGGACAGGCCACAATGCAGGATCAAAAATTTTACATAAGAACATATAGGAAAAATATTTCTTCTCAAGAGCAGAAAAGCTATGTTTAGTCATATTGATATGGAAGCATCCTCAGGTAGTGTAGATTCAAGTTTGTTCAAATGATGACCCCTGGGATAGGGAGGAGCCACAATGGAGGATCAAATTTTTACAAAGGAATATATGGGAAATTTTTTTTAAAATCTTCTCAAGTACAACAAAGCCATGTTATATTGACATGGAAGCATCATCAGGTAGTTTAAATTTCAAGCCCCCCCCCCCCCCCCCCCAGTAATCTTTTCAAAACTGATCTGAATTGTGCTTTGGCCAAGCCAATGTGCTCAGGTGAGCGATGTGGCCCATGGGTCTCTTGTTTTATTTTATTTATCCCTCCCCCCTCCCCCGACCTGATTTTTCAAAAAAAAATTCCCGTAAATCATTTAATAAAAAAAATGTTGGCCTTGTCTAAGTTATTTAGTTATTATGGCTTATGGGCCATCTAGTACTCAGAAAGTTTGTTACAGCAAAGATTGTACTATTTCTACAAGTCAATGTGCACAGGGAAAAGATAGTTCTTGAATTTTGCAATAGTCTACATGTAGTTTAAACCGAAAATCTTCATGTATTTACATGTTTATTAACTTTTTGATTATTAAAATATTTTTACCCCCAAATTGTACAAGCTGGACAAATTATAGATGTGTACTTAATAAAACTCCAAAATAAAACATTAACAAGGAATATTTATGTGAACAGCACCACATTCAGCAAACTTCTCAGATTTTAATACCCATCATCTAATTCAATTGATGAAATCGGCCAAGGTATTCGAAATGAACTGTGCCACTCTGAATGAAAGACAGACAACTCTTATGGATTACATGATTATGAATTGCCATTCAGTGTTGTATAATACTCTGGTGACCATTAAGGCCCTTGGGCCTCTTGTATGTTGATATAATCATCATCAATGCAAAAATCAACCAAACTGACTACTGTACAGCAGGTTAAAATCGCGGTCGGAAAAGATCGCAATTTGTTCAACTTGCAGCAAATCGCGGTCTTTTGAATTCGCGGAAAGGAAAAATTATACAAAAAAACCTTTTCAGCACTGCAAATATTTTCCTTGCGTATTGTGTCGATTCTTAAGTCGAACAGAACACCGTACCGATCCCAGTTAGAAGACAAACTGTTGTACGATTTACAATGTTACGTATTCAGATAAATTTTCTTTCTTTCTCGTTTTCTTGCTTTCTTTCTTTTTATTAAATATTTTTGAAATACATATGAGTCTATACTCGAGTGATTTATTCAAGTGATTTCAAGTCGTATCCAAAACATTCATGTAAAAAAAAAAAAAAAAGAAGCCCTTTGGCAGGTGTTCGTTCATATGTATGTTTTGAGTAGAGTACAGAGTAGTATTTACTGCAGTATACTGAAATCTCCCTGAATCTAAATAAGTTGTCAGTACCGGTAGTCAAAATGTTGAACTGTTAATAAAATTGAATTAATGTGTTGTGTTGTCTTTACTCCGTAAGTGCCTTGATTAAAGATAATAGGACTGAGTGATACGCATGGGTGAAATCTAACAATACATGTTTTATAATTACATCGCACCTCTACTGGGTGGCAGAATTAAATGTTAGTTATAGATCTACGTCTTGGTAGTTGATCAGTACACCCGCATAATTAGGAAGACAGTCTACATCTCTGCTATATTAGTTACTGCTTTTATGTTTGCAAGGAAAAACAAATAGAGTTAACAATTCTAATAACAGATATCGGTAATATTTCAATTTATCCTTGTCAATTTTTGAGGAATTATTCACTGTATGTTGAATTCGTTGAATTTTTTTCCGCGAATACAGCGAATATTAACTCCGAGAGTTAATTTCCTGCTGTACAGTATTTGAAAAATTTGTCCATATGGAAGTTGTTTCCTGCATTTTATAGGGAATATGTCAATTGTCCTGTACAACATTTTCATTTTAAACATCATTGAATATCTATTTATATCTATTCAAATTTGAACATCAATCTAAATTTTAGTGGTACATGTATTACTGTTGAATCTGAGAAAGTGAGAATTACATACGAGAAATTAAATTATATATAGCCTGATTAGAGACACTGTTTTAAGAGAATAGAAAAACTGAAAAAAAAGGTCTTATTAAATCACTATTAACTTGATTCTTTTGACAGGTTCAAAGAAGTTCAGAATTTTTTGAGGAAAACATTCTTCAGAGAGCAACAGATAATGAAGAATTAAAACTTTTCGCAAATGCCATTGATTTTGAAGAGAAGAGATTCTTTCTGAAAACCAAGTTTCATGAAACATTTGTCAAGGTAATTAATGGTCACAGAAAAAGGTCATGGACATATGAAGCTGGACTAAATGGATTAGGAAAAACATCATCAATTCTATACTATGTTCTTGATTGCCAAAGGAAGAATGACTTGAAGATTCATTACTTTGACCTGCAGGAAATTACAAAGAAAGATAAACAACTTAAACAATTTACCACACATTCTGAGACTTTGAAGAATGATGACTGTTTGATTATAGATCATATTACACTTTACAATTCCCATTACCTTGATAAAATTAGAGAAATTGTGCAAAGTAAACATCTAAGATTCATTCTTATAGAGACAGGGTGTACGGCTAGTGCTCATAGAATTCTTACTTTTGGACGAAAATTTCAGCTTGATGAGGAGAGCTTCTTGAAAATCTGGGATGTTACCAAAACAGACCCTGAAATTGGAAAGAAAGGGAAAGAGGTGTATAAAAAATTCTCTGAGCGATTTATAATGACCCCAAGGTTACTTCGTGATGTTTTAGAGTTCTTAGAAAACTATAAATGTCTTGAATATGGTATTGATCAGGCTTTAGCACAATACACTATAGAAAGACGGTTAGAAATATCTGAATTCAGAATATGTGATGCTACTTCTAATCTAGAGTTTGCCCAATTTCAGCGTCATACCAGATTCCTTCTTCATTATATCCCAAAGGATAAAGATTACATCTTGACTGAACAGCAAGCATTGGAGTTCAAGATAGCAATTAACCTTTTTGAAATGGAGTACTGTCATGTCAAAGATGATGATTTGGAATCAAATGTTGAAATAATAGAGTGTGGACTTAGTGAGGGTGACTCTTATGTAAGGATACGACATCTTGTACCCTTTCTTGTACCAGTATGGCGAGCTAAACTTCCCTACAACCTAGAAATGGTTCTAGACGATGCAGACAAAGATGACATTTTATGTATGGTATTCCAAGATGGTGGAGCTAGAAAGCAGTTTGTAAAGTTATTAGTAGAAGTCCAAAAGAAAACAGCAGGTGTTTTGTTGCCTGTCGAATTGATTTCCGAGACTTATTACACACCTTCCCAGAGAAAAATGGATGTGCCCTCGACTTCTTCGTGCAAACTGGAAACTGTTTCCAGGGAGAGGTTTTATGAAGGCAATGAATTTCTTGAAAACAGGTACTTGGATGACACACCAAAGGATCTGAAATCTCATGAAAAAACTGTTGCTCTCTGTGCTGCATTCATTAAAAGGAATGTAGCATGGGGCACATTTTTGGTCTATCCACAAATTGACACTTTCATGGGATTTGATTACTTTGTATACACAGACAGAAGAAAAGGAAGCCCCCCTCCCCCAAAAGTTGCAAAAGACAAAAGTAATTCAAAATTATATCTTATTAAAGTTGCAACTGGTGTCAGCCACTCTGGTGATGCTATGGGTAGAAGCTTGGATATTATGAAGAGGATTTTTGCAGATGAAAATGTCACACTTCATGCTGTTGTGATCACTGCGAGAAATGATATCAAACAATTCACACTTTTAAGGTGCAGTTTTGAGAACATAACAGTTCTTAACTTGTATTCTAAGAACAGTACAAATTTTGTACAAAGCCTGTTGCAATCAAACAATTGTTTAAACAAACTTTATTTGCAATTGATAAAGATGTAAAACCACACATGGATGTATAGATCAGTTCTTAATACCATAAAATGGATGATTTTTATACAAGATGAAAGTTCTACCCATTTCATTTTATCCATCATTTTTTTGTCATTAAATTATAGAGGCTCTGTAACATGTAATTTTTAGCTCTACTGGTCAGAGACCAGAAGAGCTTATGCGATAGTAAGGTGTCCGTCGTCCGTCCGTCTGTCTGTCTGTCTGTCCGTCTGTCTGTAAACAATTTTTCAAAACGCTACTCCTCCTACAGTTTTGGTCCGATTTCAATATAACTTGGCACACAAGTAGACTACACTAAGATACATAATTTAGTGCATGGGTTTTTGATTTCGATGGACGGTGTTGCCATGGTTACTAAAAATAGAAATTTCTGTGAAATTCCTTTAAAACGCTACTCCTCCTACAGTTTTGGTCCGATTTCAATATAACTTGGCACACAAGTAGACTACACTAAGATACATAATTTAGTGCATCGGTTTTTGATTTCGATGGACGGTGTTGCCATGGTTACTAAAAATAGAAATTTCTGTGAAATTCCTTTAAAACGCTACTCCTCCTACAGTTTTGGTCCGATTTCAATATAACTTGGCACACAAGTAGACTACACTAAGATACATAATTTAGAGCATCGGTTTTTGATTTCGATGGACGGTGTTGCCATGGTTACTAAAAATAGAAATTTCTGTGAAATTCCTTTAAAACGCTACTCCTCCTACAGTTTTGGTCCGATTTCAATATAACTTGGAACACAAGTAGACTACACTAAGATACATAATTTAGTGCATCGGTTTTTGATTTCGATGGACGGTGTTGCCATGGTTACTAAAAATAGAAATTTCTGTGAAATTCCTTTAAAACGCTACTCCTCCTACAGTTTTGGTCCGCTTTCAATATAACTTGGCACACAAGTAGACTACACTAAGATACATAATTTAGTGCATCGGTTTTTGATTTCGATGGACGGTGTTGCCATGGTCACTAAAAATAGAAATTTCTGTGAAATTCCTTTAAAACGCTACTCCTCCTACAGTTTTGGTCCGATTTCAATATAACTTGGCACGCAAGTAGACTACACTAAGATACATAATTTAGTGCATCGGTTTTTGATTTCGATGGACGGTGTTGCCATGGTTACTAAAAATAGAAATTTCTGTGAAATTACTTTAAAACGCTACTCCTGCTACAGTTTTGGTCTGATTTTAGTATAATTTACAAAACAATAAGTGTTGGTGATCTGTTTTATATCTTCTAGTTTAGTATAATTTGGCAAACAAGTAGACTGCACTAAGATACACAATTTAGTGCATCAGTTTTTGATGAATGGTGTTGCCATGGTTACTAAAAATTTCTGTCAAATTCCTTTAAAATGCTACTCCTCCGCCAGTTTTGGTCTGATTTCATAATAACTTGGATCACAAGTAGACTACAATAAGATACATAATTTAGTGCATTGGTTTTTGATTTTGATGAATGGTGTTGCCATGGTTACTAAAAATAGAAATTTCTGTAAAATTCCTTTAAAACGCTATTCCTGCTGCAGTTTTGGTCTGATTTCAGTATAAATTGGCACACAAGTAGACTACACTAAGATACATAATTCCCTTTATCAGGTTTTGATGAATGGTGTTGCCATGGTTACTAAAAATAGAAATTTTCTTGAAATACTTTCAAAACGCTACTCCTCCTACAGTTTTCATTTGATTTCAATATAACTTGGCACAAAAGTAGACTACATTAAGATACATAATTCTATTTATTGCTGCATATTGCAAAGTTTCAAATCCAAGTGCTACTTTTCTTTTGTTATACATACAGACCAGTAGAGCTACAGTCTCTTCAGAGACTTTCTTACCTCTACTGGTCAGAGACTAGGCCCCAAGACCATAAACTGAGAGTAGACTTAAGTCAAAATTTTGATTCTCAGTATCTTGAGTTTTATTTTACATTTATGTTTCGAAATTTGCATGTTTTTTAGCTTTACTGGTCAGAGACCAGAAGAGCTTATGCGATAGTAAGGTGTCCGTCGTCCGTCCGTCTGTCTGTCTGTCTGTCTGTCCGTCTGTCTGTAAACAATTTTTCAAAACGCTACTCCTCCTACAGTTTTGGTCCGATTTCAATACAACTTGGCACACAAGTAGACTACACTAAGATACATAATTTAGTGCATCGGTTTTTGATTTCGATGGACGGTGTTGCCATGGTTACTAAAAATAGAAATTTCTGTGAAATTCCTTTAAAACGCTACTCCTCCTACAGTTTTGGTCCGATTTCAATATAACTTGGCACACAAGTAGACTACACTAAGATACATAATTTAGTGCATCGGTTTATGATTTTGATGGACGGTGTTGCCATGGTTACTAAAAATAGAAATTTCTGTGAAATTCCTTTAAAACGCTACTCCTCCTACAGTTTTGATCCGATTTCAATATAACTTGGCACACAAGTAGACTACACTAAGATACATAATTTAGTGCATCGGTTTTTGATTTTGATGGACGGTGTTGCCATGGTTACTAAAAATAGAAATTTCTGTGAAATTCCTTTAAAACGCTACTTCTCCTACAGTTTTTGTCCAATTTCAATATAACTTGGCTTACAAGTAGACAACACTAAGATACATAATTTAGTGCATAGGTTTTTGATTTCCATGGACGGTGTTGCCATGGTTACTAAAAATAGAAATTTCTGTGTAATTCCTTTAAAATGCTACTCCTCCTACAGTTTTGGTCCGATTTCAATATAACTTGGCACACAGGTAGACTACACTAAGATACATAATTTAGTGCATCGGTTTTTAATTTCGATGGACGGTGTTGCCATGGTTACTAAAAATAGAAATTTCTGTTACAGTTTTAGTCTGCTTTTAATATAATTAGGCATACAAGGAGACTATACTAAGATACATAATTTATTGGATTGGTTTTTGAATTCGATGAACAGTGTTGCCATGGTTACTTAAAGTAGAAATTTTTGTGAAATTCCCATTAAACGTTACTCCTCCTACAATTTTGGTCTGATTTCAATCTAATTTGGCACACAGTTAGAATACACTACGATACATAATATGTATTTCTGTTTTTTTTTATTTGGGTGAATGGTGTTGTCATGGTTACTAAAAATAGAAATTTCCGTGAAATACTTTCAAAACGCTACTCCTCCTACAGTTTCATTTGATTTCAATATAACTTGGCACAGAAGTAGACTACTTTAAGATACATAATTCTATTTATTGTTGCATGTTGCAATGTTTCAAATCCAAGTGCTACTTTTCTTTTGTTATACAAACAGACCAGTAGAGCTACAGTCTCATCAGAGACTTCTGGTTTACTATCTTAATACAAACAAATGATGAAAATTTTGTTAGATTATCAAAATTATTCCAGAAGTTATATTCATTTGAAATTCTGACTTAAGTCTGTTCTCAGTTTATGGTCCTGAGGCCAGAAGAGCTTATGCAATAGTAAGGTGTCTGTCTAGCTGTCCGTCTGTCTGTAAACAATTTTTGAAAACGCTACTCCTCCTACAGTTTTTGTCTGATTTTAATATAACTTGGCACACATGTAGACTACACTAAGATACATAATTTAGTGCATCAGTTTTTGATTTCGATGAATGGTGTTGCCATGGTTACTATAAATAGAAATTTCTGTGAAATTTCTTTAAAACGCTACTCCTCCTATAGTTTTGGTTTGATTTCAATATAACTTGGCACACAAGTAGACGGTACAATGTTAATAATTTAGTGCAATGGTTTTTTATTTCAATGAACGGCGTTGCCATGGTTACTAAAAATAGAAATTTCTGTGAAATTCCTTTAAAACGCTACTCCTCCTACAGTTTTGGTCCGATTTCAATCTAATTTGGCACACAATTAGAATACACTACGATGCATAATATGTTTATCGGTTTTTGATTTCAGTGAATGGTGTTGTCATCATTCATGGTAACTAAAAATATAAATTTCTGTGAAATACTTTTAAAACAATACTCCTCCAACAGTTTTCGTTTGATTTCAATGTAGCTTGGTACAGAAGTAGATTACATTAAGATACATAATTCTATTTGCATGTTTTTTTTTTAAAGATAAGATTTTGTTTCTACAAGCTCGTAGCAATGGTTTCAAAAGTTGGGGTGGGAACTTCCAAAAAAATCTGACAAGCAAAAAAAAAAAAGAAAAACTGACCAAATTTGGGGAAGGGGGGGGCAACTTCCCCAAATTATCTGACAAACAAACAAGAGGCCCATGGGCCACATCGTTCACCTGAGTAACTTTGGTCATGCTGTTCTTTACCAGATCCCCCCCCCCCTTGTAATACCTATTGTGGCCCTGCTCTACCCCCGGGGTCATGATTTGAACAATTTACAATCTACTCTATCCCAGGATGCTTCCCCATAAGTTTCAGCTTTTCTGGTCCAGTGATTCTTGAAAAAAAAAGTTTTTTAAAGATTTTTCCTATATATTTCAATGTAAAACTTGGATTCCCTATTGTGGCTCCGCCCTACCCCCGGGGTCATGATTTGAACAATTTAGAATCTACACTATCCCAGGATGCTTCCACATAAGTTTCAGATTTTTTGGCCCAGTGGTTCTTGAGAAGAAGATTTTTTAATGACCCCACCCTATTTTTGTTCTTTCTTGATTATCTCCCCTTGTAAGGGGACTTGGCCCTTTATTTTAACAATTTAAACTCCCCTTCGCCCAAGGATACTTTGTGTCAAGTTTGGTTAAAATTGGCCCAGTGGTTCTTGAGAAGTTGAAAATGTGAAAAGTGTACAGACGAACGGACGGACAACGGGTGATTAGAAAAGCTCACTTGAGCTTTCCGCTCAGGTGAGCATTAAACAAAAAACAAAAATAATTTACTGTCCAAATCCTGGAATTTGCCGGTGCTCGACCTTACAAAAAGTGTGTGGGGGTGGGGAATCAGCAACTAAAGGAAAATTTACTATAGTGAAATACTATACTTCGGAAAAAATCTGACGGGCAAAAAAAAAAAATTAAACTCACCAAACTTGGGGGGGGGGGGGGGCAACTTCGCAAAATTATCTGACAAACCAAAAAAAAAAAACTAATTTACTGTCCAAAATGTGTCGGTTCTCGACCTT